ACGCTGGCTGTGCGATCTAGATGCTCTGCTGATTATCCGCTATATGGTGATCTATGACTGGAAACATGCGATCTATGACTGGAAACATGCAGGCCGTCATTCGAGGCCTTTTATCGCGGCGACGATCCAGTCTGCCGACCATATTCCATTCGAAGTACAAAATGGGTACCACCATGTCATGACAGGAACGGGTCTACCAGACCGGTGGGAATGGAAATTCTATTCTTCTGCCTACAACGGGGGTAGTTTCTATTTTTCGCACGTCGCAACTCCGATTTTGACTTCGAATGGGGAATTCAGTGTAATCGTCAACGCGTCCAAGGCCAGGCAGTTACAATGCGAGCTGTGGTTGGATCTATTCTACCTTCAGCTCTAAGGACCCAGTATACTCGATACTAGTTAACTACAACTCTCACAGGACATCAGCGGAAGAGACTTACCCACCTCATTTTCCTATACTGTGGCATATTGTCGTACTACTTCTCTGATGAGATCACATTCCCGTGAGTCTCCATCCGTCCACATCCGGTATTACCCCCTCCTGTGGAGTTTCACAGGCTCCTTGGGAATGGACTGTAGCTATCGATCAGTGCCGACATTGGAGACAAACCTGTCTCAAATTCTTTTCATCAATTTTTGAGATCTGGACACCAACTCCCCTGCGCTAACGTTGTTGAGACTGCTGGTAAGGAGGCCGGTCTGTTGCAATGCAAATGCCAATGCCAGGCACAGTCCCAAGTTGTTACATTTCCAACCGAACCCATAGCGGAAGCCGTTATCCACCTCATTCTTTGTCTTTCTGAAAGGACCCCGGAGTCAGATTTACTCCGAGGAAAGCTGTCCTAAAACGTTGACGTGAATGAAAGCCTGTTTGGTTCCGTCCTTGGCTCGATGGGCCACCAATCCTAGATCGAAGATCATATCATATTCCATGAACAACGAGGTTCATTTCCAACGATGGTTGCGCCAACAATCCTACTCAAGGTCACTTCCAAAGGTCTAAGCAGAGGGAGGAATTATTTGGATTTCCAAATGGCTGCTCAGACGCTCTTCTTCGCCCAAAGGATGTTGTGGCGACAATAAAAAAGCCCTGGAAAGCTGGCTGAACCACTGGGGGATGATGAAAGCGATATCACCGACACGTTCGCATCGGAGATCTGGACCCAACAACCTGGCTCAAGTTCCCCGATCTCGTCCACGAGGGGCTGCCCGTCGGGGTTTCCATGAAACAAAGCAGATGAACTTCAAAAGGTCTAACCAAGCAGTCACCCTCGAGTCATGGCGAACCAGACCAGACGAGTTCTCGGTTTGACTTTGCAGCAGGCCTTGAAATGAGCGACTGTTTTGCTCTTTGCTGCTTAGCCGCTGCCATCACCACTGCCATGCGTCCATGTATCTGTTCTCGCTCGGCCTGGGCCTTGTTGAATGTCTGGAACATGGTCGTTAGACGGGTTGATTGGCTGACAACTTCTCCGCGGCCATTTACGGTAGAGACTCAGCCGACTAGCTCCTCGACGCAGCGACTAGGATCGCTTGACTGCTCTATGGTTATATCTAAATGCCGTCGGCGGAAGTGCGGCATACTTGTTCCTATGGCTCGTTTTGACCTTCGGTTATCGCGCTCTGGTTAGGCCAACTTAGGACTTTTGCGGCCCCAGTCTCTTGATTGAAGACAAGGGCCGCAGCTATTGACGATTCGACTAGACGTTCAGTAACAGCAGTTTGCTTCAGTCGTCGACGGGAGGGAGCTGATTTTTACTGATTTTCCCTGATTTTCGTGCTGACCAGCTAGCGTCTCCAATTCTCTGGTAGACATCTGCTTGCCTTGCCAACTTAACGGATAGTCAGGATGACTTGTGGTCTGTTTTCGACTTTAAATCTGAGGCTCAATGAGGCCGTCATTCGCGAAAAGCTATTCGTTGCTTGCTACTTAAATATTCCGAGGCTCCCTACCCTAAGTTCTTCGAGTGCGACTAACGATCCAGAAGCATCTAAACAAGAGACAGGACGAAAAGCAAACACTGGAGTGGCTCCCAGATAAATACATTCATACCCGAATGTGTGTTAGTGCTCCCTTTTATTGCAGACACGGCGGTCCTAATGGATCGTTCGCTCTGGCAAGTCGCATCCATATGCTGTATTGCTCCCTCTTGAGGTCGCAACCCGATATGTATTCAAGGATGCAATATCGGGTCTCTGGTAGGTAATGCTTAAAGTAATGAGCATTGTCGTATGTCGGTTGATTGCGACCAATGTACCTTGCTTCCATTATTCGTTTAGTTCTATCCTATCTCTTCCTCTTTCGGCGGATATATATACTTATTGCAAACATCGCGGAAGACAATCCAGGTACAAGACTTACCCCTTTCCTTTCAGAATATCGTTGTAGATTGAAGTTTCTAGCTAATTATTTGAGTAGATACGTAGTAAAATGTCTTTGTTCTTGGATTGAAGAGCAGGTCTGTGCTTCCGAAGTACAGCCAGGTTTCATGCCAGAACAAACCAACATGACGACGACAATTTGACAATTGAATGGCTTTGAACACGGTATATACCACCCAAACAACACTGCTGTTAGCTGCTCATATCCATAGGTACTGTAGGTACTGGCATCCACTTTGGCTCTCCCGTCTCGAATCGAAGATGGATCCGCACCCCGGCCAGGGAGACCATCGGTGTTCCCAGCAGGCATCTCAAACGAACATACTCTCATTATGAAGGATAAGAAAGCATTGAGCAGGTAAGAGCCAAGCTCCTTGCATTCTGTCCTACACGGAGTCGCCGAAATGTGGAGAAGGCTGGGATGCTCGCCTCTGCTGGATGCGTAATTGACTGATGCACCCAAGTCAAATCAGGATGACTCACCCAAAACACGACATATTGCCGTCGCAGATGACGGCCCTGCGTGGAATATCCTTGCATAGTGAAGAGCCAAGCCTGGAGCCTTGAGGACGTTCGCTTTGAAACCAGGCTAAGTTCGAGACGATAAAGATGTATGCTATTGCATAATGTCTCTGATAAACCTATTGCAGGCTGGTTGCATCTTGCTGTATATAGTATGCACATGTGTCGCTTCCTGATAGTGCTGGTGATGATGATATCGAACTTAGGCTGCATAAATTGCCGATTTGTGGATTGCCCACTTGAACCAGTCTGTGGTTGTTGATCTAGCCTTCCTGACACTCTAGATGTAGCCTCTCAACTACCTCGACTCGAAAGACGTGACCTCGCCCATGAATACCACTTCTCGCCTTCTAGTCGTCCTCATCCCATGTGCCGATAATTACTTCTACCTGCTACTTGTGAGAAGCCGTCATGTTCACATCGCTAGAGATGTCGCTCAATCTAACATCAGAATTTTGTCAGGTAGTATCGGCTACAATACTATTCAGTTACCCCTATGCCGGATCTTCTCAACTAAGAATCTCTCAGGCAATATCATGCTCCGCTCCGTCTTAAGCTATACCAGACAATTGATACCATGACGCTGATGGAGATTTCCCTCCTGTTCGGCGGATTTTCCCGTGGAGGTTTTCAGGACCAGCGATTGCTGTTAGCTTCCTCGGTCTATTTAGGCCTCTATTGGCTGAACTCGGCTTTTTTCTTTGCTGTTTGTGGATTAGAGCAAAGGAAAATATTCGATCTGGCTAATAAGATGGTTCAAGGAAACTGTCCGCTGGCCAAGCGTATGTGCACCAACAGGAAAAACATGATGGAATAGTTGATGCGGGAGGTGAGATTCTTGACAGAGAGATATCTTCCTTAATAATTGTTTATCATTGTGTGGGGTCGAGACACGGGAATACGACTCTCTCCGCCACTTGAGCGACCTTGTCGCGCCATAAGGGGGCGGTATTTGTCATGTGACAGACAGACGACGAACAACGAACGAGGTTGCTCTTCAGCCTGAGATTCGACCTTTGTCTTCCCTAGATGGAGTATCACTACCATCTCTTAGCCATGCGCCACGCGAACGCTGCACAGAGAGAACGTCTCGGCGACGGAGCACGGGTAAGTGATGTTGAGGCGCATTCGCTTTCGGGAACTCGGGACACTTTGCCCCCTGCACATACCCGGAGAGACCTCGTCGTGGCCGCTTTCATCTTCCTTCGGTGGCCGACAAGGGTAAATGAAGTAATTGAAGCCATGAACTCTCAAGCTGACTAGCCGACAGGAAGAATGCCTAATGGTCTGTCTCACTTGATGTTGGGGTGGCACTCAACGGAGATACATCCTTGGTGGGGGCTGTTTTCCGTCAGGCCAATCGCCTCGGCATCTTCGTCCGGGGGGGGAACAATAATCTGGGGGAAGAAGGTTCACTTTCTGTGGGCCACAGCCGTGTGAGCGTTCCAGTGGAGGCCAATCGCTTCTACAAGGCTTGGTGCTAGTGTCCTAAAGAAGACATCGGCCCTTGGTTCCTTTCCCGAAACAACTTAGGGCCGCCCTGGTTCCTGTCACCAAGACTCTGGGCCGACGTCTGAGCCAATCACTTGCAACCCCCAAGCGAAGCCTTCATTCCTCTTCGAGATGGACGGCTGTGACTCCGGCTTCTGACCCTCACACGTCCGGGTCCTAACATTGGTCAGGCTCATATCGTTCTCCAATTGAGCCTGAATTCAACCTCTAGCCCCTTGACGAGATTTAGCTCTGGACTTGGCTTTGTACAGCACCCGTAAGCTTTGCCATGCGATTTCGGCAAAGCTTAGCGGAGTCCTCTCCATCTTTAACCCCAGGATCCAGTGATCTAGAGCTCAGACAGGAGGAAAGGATCTGACAATTTATCCTATTTTGCCGCTAGAGGGGACTGGTCACGCAGCTTCGTGGCAACCGATTTTCTCACCCGTTATTCAAATACTTGCCGACTGCCAGCCACGAGAGTGGATTTTCAGATCCTGGCAGACTTCCAATATTTGACAGAGGGCCCCGCACCTTTTTGCATCTTCGATCATTCCTACTATTGTTTTTAATTTGTATCAAGACAAATCTGATACTCTGCTACAATGGGGAAGGACACCTTCACACTCGGTGGTCGAGAATGGCCTAGGGTGACTTGGTGGAAGATGAAGGGCATGCGCTTCGTCTATCTTACTCTCTGGGCAGCCATGGTTACCTCTGCGACCAACGGTACAATTCCCTGCCCTCTTCCGCAATGCGACAATTTGTGAATGGTACGACTGACAAAATGACCAGGCTACGATGGATCTTTGATGAACGGATTGGAGGCCATGCCTTCATGGAATGATTGTGAGTAGTCGAAACTGTATGGCTTGCAGTCATGGATCTGACGATAGGCCAATCTAGCGTACAATCACCCGGCTGGCGGCACCCTAGGTCTCTTGGCGGCTGCCATGTCGATCGGCTCTATGCTTTCAATTCCCGTCGTCCCCTATGTTGCTGATATCCTCGGTCGTCGCGCCGGTGTGGTCTTGGGCTGTGTGATCATGCTTTTCGGTGTCGCCATGGTTTCGATTGGATACCGCATTGCCCTGTTTGTCGTTGGTCGTATGATCCTTGGTTTCGGTCTCGGCATTGCTCAGGTGAGTCGGAGAACGGTCTGATTCGTGACGGGTTGACCACTGACGGAAAGTAAATAGGAATGTTCGCCCCTTCTCGTCACTGAGCTGGTGCACCCTCAGCATCGAGCAATTTACACGTCAATTTACAACAGTTTGTGGTACGTGGGCTCCCTCATCGGAGCCTGTGTCGCTTTGGGTACGTCATCTGAATGGCCTCGACAAACGGACCGAGCACCTCTAACGTGACGCTTGACAGGAACGAACCACATCATTGGCAGCGACTGGTCGTGGCGTGTCCCTTGTCTCCTGCAGGGAATTCCATCAGTTTGCCAGCTGATTTTCATTTGGTACGAAGAATAGACAAAGTTCAAAGAGAAAAATTGTTGCTGACTTCGAGTTTAAAGGACTGTTCCCGAATCGCCCCGTTGGCTCATCTCCAAGGGTAGATTGGAGGAGGCAAAGAAAGTCCTGGCGTACGTGCATGCCCAAGGAGACGAAGATGATGAACTGGTCAACGTCGAATTCGATGAGATCCAACAGACCATTGAGCTGGAGAAGGAATTCGAGGGCAACAGCTGGGCTGAATTCTGGTCCACTCCCGGCAACCGACACCGCCTGATCATCCTGGTCAGCATCGGTTTCTTCTCCCAGTGGTCAGGCAACGGAATTGTGTCATATTTCCTTCCCCAGGTAAGTCTTGGAGGATTGCAATCGCGGACTCTGCAGTGGCTGATAACAACTAGGTTTTGAAAATGATTGGCATCACCGACAGCAACACGCAGTTGACCATCAACCTGATTCTCAGTGCGGTCAATGTGGTGTCTGCAACTGGAATCTGTTTCTTCGTCGACTACTTCGGCCGACGCAAGCTCTTCCTGACATCCAGTTTTAGCATGCTCGCATGCTATGTCGCCACAACCATTGCTCTGGCCCGCTTCCACATTTCCGATGCTGCCGGTGTGCAAAACAACAATGCCGCCCACGCCGTCCTTGTGTTCATGTTCCTCTTCTACATTGCCTACAACATCGGTTACAGCGGCCTGTTGGTCGGCTACTCTTCTGAGATCCTGCCGTACCACCTTCGTGCCAAGGGTCTTACTATCATGTTCCTCTGTGTCGATCTCAGTCTGTGGTTCAACCAATATGTGAACCCAATTGCATTGGACGCGATTGGCTGGAAGTACTACATCGTTTACTGTGTGTTCCTGGTCTTCGAAATTTTCATCGTCTGGAAGTTCTACATTGAGACCAAGGAGATTCCTTTGGAGGAGATTGTCAAGAAGTTCGATGGTGACCGGGCTATTCTGGGTGGTGCCGCTGCTTCTGAGAAGGTTCAGGAACTCACCGGAGCTCATGGTCGATCTGCCTCCGCAGACGGTGGTGAGAAGGCGATCACTACTCAGGTTGAGCTGTAGATCGTCTGAAGGGTCCTATGTACTGGTTGATATGGTAACGGAACGTTTTTATGAGCTACCAATGCCATTTCGACTGAATATGTTGCTTCTAATGAGATTACTCTAATGTTGTTGCTATGTATCTTTATGAAAAATTGATACTGGCCAAAGGCCAACTTGTCAATGCAATGTTTGATATAATAGCTTCGTAATGTCTTGTCATGACCTCCAGAGCGCAGTGTGATAGGATCACTTGTTCTCATAGAACGTTAACGAGATCCTTGTAGCCTTACGTATAGTTATGGCCAACGCCGAGTTCATGAACTTATGTAACTATTTATGACATTATTATCGACATTTTCTTTCTCTTTCATTCGGTGTGTTGTAAATGTTCGAGGCATGCTTCCAATTCCCTTGGCGACCGCCACGACATTTCTTATCACTATCTTGATTTTGACATGTGTAATGCATCGGCTACTCTCGTCTCACCTTAAAACTCGCTGATCGGCAATTTCGCAAGGCTGAGATATGCCGAGAGAGGGGGGCCTTGGCTAGCGAGCCGATGCCGCTACTAAACTAAAGTCTGAATCACAACAAGGAAGCGACTACCTCCGTCTGCATGCTAAATGCGAGATACGAGATTAGGCAAGCTTAGTTTTTTCTCTCTCAATACTTGCTGCATCAGTGCTCCTCGGTAGGATAAATGTTTCATCTTGATATGAAGTCCATTCGCTATGTACTAATTCAGGATGTGTGGCTCAAAAAGTCCCTTCCCTATGGACCGTGATTGAGCCACTCACTAAGTGTGATATATTCTATGGGGTATTAGGCTATACCAAGACTCCCAAATTCATTGGGAATGTTGAAATGGGCATTGGTCAGCAGCCGGTATTTCGGTTGAATAGAAAAACAAGCATCCTAGAACCTCTTGCGGACGCTCTAGTCCCGCCTAGTCCCTCTTCGCTCTTTTGCAGCCGGCTTTTAGCAAAATCGAGGCTAGTGTGGTAGCACACTTAGCCTTTTCCCACCCAATTTCTGTGAGTAAGTATAGCCTAATATCCACATGCTCCCCCTGAAAATAGACGCGAGCAGGGGTGTTGACAGCAGACCAACGAATGAACGACTGAATAATAGACGCTAGTAAGAACAGCAGACATGCGTTTGCGGGGAAGCATAGAGGGAAATCTTAGGCGAGATTTTTTGTTTATATAGCTTCAAACTCCTCTTCAGAGCTACCGTGCTAAGCAACTCTGATTCTTTCAAGCTCAATTCTCACCATGCGTCCATCTCTTGCGATTGCAGCTTTGCTGGCTGGCGCAGCCCAGGCAGCACCTCACTCTTCTGGAAACAATGGTAACATTGATCTCAATGAGCTTGCTCAGCGCCGGGGGAAGCACTGGTTTGGATCCGCTGCCGATATTCCTGGTACTGCGGAGACCACCGATGCTGCGTATCTCAAAGTGCTGAAAAGCAACTTTGGTGAAATTACCCCTGCCAACGCCATGAAGGTGTGTCTAACTTGGAGCTATCACCTCCCCCTTTACTTGTTCTCCATTAACATCTTGCTTCTCTAGTTCATGTACACTGAGCCAGAGCAAAATGTATTCAACTTCACCGCGGGCGACCAGTTCCTGGAGGTCGCCGAGCGCTTCGGCAGCAAGGTCCGATGCCACAATCTTGTTTGGGTGAGCCAGCTGTCTGACTTCGTTACGTCCACGACCTGGACCGCCGAAGCCCTCACTGCTGTGATGAAGAATCACATCTTCAAGACTGTTCAGCACTTTGGCCGACGCTGCTACTCATGGGATGTGGTCAACGAGGCTCTCAACGGGGACGGCTCCTTCTCCTCGAGTGTCTGGTACGACACCATTGGCGAGGACTACTTCTACCTTGCATACAAGTTTGCGCAGGAGGCATTGGCAGAGATCGGCGCCGATGATGTGAAGCTGTACTACAACGACTACGGCATCGAAAACCCAGGTACCAAAGCGACTGCTGTCCTCCAGCTCGTCAGTAACTTGCGGCAGCGCGGCATCCGAATTGACGGTATTGGTTTGGAATCGCACTTCATCGTTGGAGAGACCCCTTCCCTTGCCGACCAACTTGCCACAAAGAAGTCATACATCAACGCCAATCTGGATGTGGCCATCACGGAGCTTGACATTCGTTTCTCAGCTGTGCCATATTACACGGCTGCCGTTCAGAAACAGCAGGCTGAGGACTACTATACGAGCGTGACTAGTTGCTTGAATGCTGGTCCTCGCTGCGTTGGTGTGGTCGTTTGGGACTTTGACGATGCTTACTCTTGGGTTCCGAGTACTTTTGCTGGACAGGGTGGTGCCTGTTTGTTCAACAATACTCTTGAAGCGAAGCCGGCATACTACGCTGTTGCTGAGGCTCTCGAGGGAAAGCCTTGCAGTGTATGCTAGATAGGACCCCGCTAGACAGGGATTGATTTTTAAGGAGGCTTTAGTCATTAAGTGAATTTACTTGACCAGTGAAAAGAATGAGATTATTGTAGAGCTCTACTTTGTTTTCTGTTGCCCCGGACTTGAGGAGCTAGTTCATTTTCTAGAGCTTTGTCATAACCAATCATGCAGTCATCCTTGCGATCCACTAGGTGAATCATGATGTGAAATATTTAACGTAATGAGACCCTCATGACGATTTGCCTAGCTGGGGACTCCACCGCAATCGTGTTCGTAAGAAGTGGATCTCATAACTGATCCCCGGAACTGAACGTTCACTAATTCTACTGACGTTCAGCCCAGTAAATTTGACTGAGCTCGGGTGCCCAGAAAACGAGATCCTGTTGGTCTTGATGGACAGCCAGAGGATGTACTAGTCTTGTTTCCTGGCTTGGGTATCGCTGCTTAAGTCGATAATGTTGTTTCTTGTCCGCGGAAACCTAGAAACTACCACTTGCGGATTGACCATTCCGAAGATTGAGCTTATGGCTAGCGGTTTCAAGCCCTTCCAATCTAGAATACATTGCAAGGATCTAACCAGTAATAGAAAATATGTCTCTTCCGGATCAGCATATTGTGTTCCTCTCAAATCTCCCTGGCGGGTTTCGTGGACTTTAGAACGGCCGGATATATATTGCAGATCAACTACGAAGAGCACCAGTTTCAAGCCTACCTTATGTTATTGGTTTCCCATACACATCTTTAGAATTTAATGGAAATTTCTCTAGACATAATTAAAAATCATGTCTAGCCCTTCATTACCAAGTCAGTACACGCATTGCTCTCACGACCTCGCCATCTAGAATCTCGAACGCTGGGTCACGTGTCAGTTCAGCTCAAGATGCTCTCCGCAATGATCGCCCACTTCAGGCACAACTCAGCCTCATTGCGGATTTGTCCGGGGCTGTATTCGTGAAATCACACATTTCAAAGCTGTGCACTGATTTTGGACTTTAAAAGTCAGATTCATACCTTCCTCTCGCCTGCTTCGCCAACTCAATATCGGATTTAGGCCGTGGGCACAGGCTATCCCTTTCCCCTTTCACAGGCCAATGTAAGGGGGCATACCATGCTGTCTTAATTCCTTTCATATATATTCAATCAATTGAACTTCAGACCACTTCTTTGCTCTTCTCTTACTTTTTTTTACTCATTTCCTCAGTGAAGCCTGAGCAACAATGCTATTATCGGGCATGGCTCGGGCGCGCCTGCGCGTCACCACGAGATCAAGCCCATGGACGCGAGCTCAGAATACATATTCTACCAAAGGCGCTAGCTTTCGCTCCAATTCTGGCTCATCACACAATTTGACGAGACTCATTGCCACAGCCAGCGTGGTCAGTACTTCAGGCCTTTGGTGGCTGGTGAATACCCGTGACGATGCCGTCCGCGACGACGCACCACATCTTGAAACACCCCCAGCTAAGCACTGGACTGTTGAGCCCGGTCCTTCGAGAGACCAAGTGACACGGATCATATCTCAAGGAGCATATTCCTTTCTAGTGCGAAATGTTGACGGCGTCAGCAGATATGATGGTGCTCAGTTGGCCTCGAATTGCCCGTGCGAGGACCAGTTTACCCATGGCAAATTTCCTTCACCGGGGAAACAAGGCAAGAACTGGATGGCTTGGGGTGTTTATGATGGTCATTCAGGTGCGCAAACGGCCGAATTGTTGAAGGAACAACTCCTGCCTTTTGTTCGACGTAGCTTGAGTCAAGTCAAGTCTTCCTCAGCCGGAGAGGCCCTCTCTGATGAGTTTGTTCAGAGTGCTATCGTGAAGGGATTCTTGGATCTTGATGACTCTATTATCAAGACAGCTCTGGAGACAGTCCAGAGCCGATATCCATTACCGGAGAAAGTCAAGAAATTAGCACCCGCTTATGCCGGCTCATGCGCTTTGCTGTCCATGTACGATTCCACCACAAGTACGTTACACGTGGCATGTACTGGCGATTCGAGAGCAGTTCTAGGACGAAAAGGTCCAGACGGTCGATGGGAAGCAAAAGCATTGTCAGTAGACCAGACTGGCAACAACGAGGAAGAAATCGCTCGGCTGCACGAGGAGCATCCTGGCGAAGAAGACATGATCAAAAACGGACGGGTTCTAGGATTAATGGTCTCACGAGCCTTTGGCGACTGTCGATGGAAGTGGTCTTTGGAATTCCAACGAGAAGTGCAAAAAAGGTTCTACGGTCCATCACCTTTGACGCCGAGATACCCGGTTCAAACACCGCCATATCTGACGGCGGAACCGGTTGTGAGGAGCACCATGATCGACACTGCTAGCCCTTCGTTCCTGATCATGGCAACAGATGGCTTGTGGGATATGATATCCAACCAGCAAGCTGTTGATCTCGTGGGGAAATGGTTGGAACGAGGCGGAGATGAGCAGGGGAATGCCAACCCGGAACCCACATATGAACCATTCGACTTTGGGCACTTTGACAAACCAGGGAGTGAGAGATTCGTGGACGGGTGGACCACTGTCCAAGATGACAATGTTGCTGTGCATTTGGTGCGGAATTCGCTTGGTGGCAATCATCATGAATTGGTCGCAGGGCGACTTGCCTTTGGTCCATCATCCTCGCGGCATGCTCGAGACGATATCACGGTGCAAGTGGTCTTCTTCAATGTTCCAGAGTCTGAAAGCAACAATCAGAAGTCAACACCATAGCATTCTAAGAACATACACATGCTCTATAGAGGAGGAACGTATGCACTATACTGTCTATCATGCCAGGGATTCCTCATTTCGAGTTTGGTAGGAGCCTTCCGATCGTAAATCGGCACATAATAACATGGATTCAATTAATCGCGCAGCTTGAGAGGACGCATGACCATGCTATGCTTGGTTTCTTCTGTATAGATCTCAGCCTGTGCGCGCCGAGTCCCGGCGAGAGCGGGGAGGGTTCGGGCAGGGCTGAGGAGGGGGTCGGCAGGAAGAAATCGGGCCGCGATGGAAGGACGAGGTGGACCAGGGGCATACTTTCCCCAGATTCTACGAATGAGGCAAGTCCAGTCCTCGACTGCTTCGTGACGAGCTGAGCTGGCTCTCGTCGGGCGCCGCGGGTTCTTCCGCGGGTGATTCCGGGGAAATCGGGGGAGCTCGTAGGTCGTAGACGAGGAGGAGCCGAGAGGGAGGGAGGGGGGATTTACGAATAGTGAATAATAGCATAGCGCAATAGGGACTGATTCTACGGTGTAAATGGAGTCTCAGCGTGAAGAGATTGATCTGTACGTTGATGTATATACGGCATCGCTAATATTACCGAGTTGGGCCGGGTTCTCCTCAGCGGTTAATTTCTCCTCACCGGGGCATCCCCTCACGTCTCTCAAGGTCAATTGCAAATGTCAATTTGCAATTCTTCGGCGAGCCTTTTACCGCCACGGGGCCCAGAAAAAACTGGGTCCCGAGGGTACAGCTCCATCGCTGTCAGTTTAGCTTGTGAAGTCGCAATTAGGCCGGTGAAAAAGGACCCAAGGAGCTTCAATTCATCATGGAACAGAAGATCCTGACATAAAAAGGAACTAGAAACAAGATACCTGGCCAAAGGAGAGTGATTCTCAGCGATATCAATTTCCTAAATATAGTTCTTGGATGAAGTCATAATCTTCGAAGGGAGCGGACGGCAGAAAAGCTCTTTTTTTTTTTCTTCTTTTCTCTTTTGGGGCCACACCGATTCGCCCAAAACAGCAGAACCGCAGCCATTTCTGATCGACTCTTTTTGCATTTTTGCATTTGCGGATCTGGATTTTGCTGGATTTTCGCCCGGTCAGGACTCAGGCCGATTATTCTTACGCCAACCGCTGGTTAACTATATCTTTTACTCTTCTCCCTTTCCCTTCCATTCTTTCCCCCAGCTTTTCTAATCCGCTCCCCCCCTCCCGCTGGTGCGCTCTTTCTCACCCGCCCTCCATCATGGCTGGCACCACGCTAGCAATGCGTTCCATGGCCTCTTCGTCCATCATGCGGCTGTCGTCCGTGTCGCGCCGCACCATCGCGACCACCTCCGCCCAGGCCCTGCGCCCGAAGCCGCTTCGATCCAATGGCCTGTCTATCGCACGCGCTGCTCGCCGCGGCTATGCTGATGCTGCTCCGTCGCCGGCTCCCAAGCCCAAGAAGCGTTTCCGCGCTCTGCGCTGGGCCTGGCGTCTGACCTGGCTGAGCGCTCTCGGTCTGACTGGTGCTACGGTCTACAGCATCTACGAGCTGCGTCATCCCGAGGAGCAGTACGAGCCTGATCCGACAAAGAAGACCCTGGTCATCCTTGGTATGTCATGACGCGAGGACGGTCGCAACCGCGGCCATCTCGCCGATACCGACGGAATGGACAATTGACTCACTAACGCGATCACCCGTCTAGGTACCGGCTGGGGTTCCGTCTCCCTATTGAAGAAGCTCGACACTGAGAACTATAACGTCGTCGTCGTCTCACCCCGCAACTACTTCCTGTTCACTCCCCTGCTGCCCTCATGTACTACCGGTCTGATCGAGCACCGCTCGATCATGGAGCCCATCCGTAACATCCTGCGCCAGAAGAAGGCCACCGTCAAGTTCTACGAAGCCGAAGCCACCAAGATCGACTACGAGAAGCGCGTCGTCTGCATCAGCGATGATTCCGAGATCAAGGGTGACATTTCGCACACCGAGGTTCCCTTCGACATGCTTGTGATCGGCGTTGGTGCCGAGAACGCGACTTTTGGTAGGTGGTCCCAAAACGAAATCACCCTGAAGGAGGGACTGACAATGCTGGTATAGGTATCCAGGGTGTCCGCGAGCACTCGTGCTTCCTGAAGGAGGTCACCGATGCTCAGAACATTCGTAAGCGTATTATGGACTGTGTCGAGACCGCTATGTTCAAGGATCAGACGGAAGACGAGGTCAAGCGCCTGCTGCACATGGTTGTGGTTGGTGGTGGCCCCACTGGTGTCGAATTCGCCGGTGAGCTGCAGGATTTCTTCAACGATGATCTGAAGAAGTGGATTCCCGAGATCAAGGACAACTTCCACGTTACTCTCGTCGAGGCTCTTCCCAACGTTCTGCCCATGTTCTCCAAGCAACTGATTGACTACACCGAATCGACCTTCAAGGAGGAGGAGATCACCATCCGCACCAAGACTATGGTCAAGAAGGTGACCGACAAGTACATTGAGGCCGAGATTACCAACCCCGATGGAAGCAAGTCTCTGGAGACTATCCCTTACGGTCTGTTGGTCTGGGCTACCGGTAACGCCGTGCGCCCCGTTGTCCGCGACCTGATGAGCCAGCTCCCCGCCCAGAAGGACTCCCGCCGCGGTCTTGCTGTGAACGAGTACCTGGTTGTCAACGGCACTGAGAACGTCTGGGCCGTCGGTGACTGTGCTATCACCAACTATGCCCCTACCGCTCAGGTTGCCGGTCAGGAGGGTGCTTTCCTGGCTCGCCTCTTCAACACCGTGGCCAAGACTGACGCCATTGAGAAGGAGCTTCAGACCTTGTCCAACGAGCAGGCCCTGGCCAAGACTGATGAGGACCGCAACCGTGTCTTTGATGAGATCCGTGAGCGCCAGAAGCAGCTGCGGAGAACTAAGCAGATTGGTCCCTTCCAGTACTCCCACCAGGGTAGTTTGGCCTACATTGGCAAGGAGCGTGCCGTTGCCGATATCAGCTGGCTGAGCGGCAACATTGCCAGTGGTGGCACCCTGACCTACCTCTTCTGGCGCAGTGCCTATCTGAGCATGTGCTTCAGCTGTGAGTTTACCCGACCTTTTTGTTAAGTTGATATGTACTAATATCTATTTCAGCCCGCAACCGTGTTCTCGTCGCTGTCGACTGGATCAAGGCCCGTCTCTTCGGCCGTGACGTCTCCCGCGAGTAAACGTCCCCACCCAAGCCATGCCTCCTGTGACTGCCTCCACTTCTATGGCTGTCCTGATTTCCTAGCCTCTTCCTTTCCCAACACACAACTGTAAGATAACTTGTGTGTTCCCTCTTGAAACGCCACGCCACCTCCACGTCCTCCTCCTGTTGCTCTACCTTCCCACCCTGTGATAGACATATCCATTACCTGTCCTTTTGTGATGACCTGCCATTGGTACCTACCCGCTTCGTCTTCGTCCCTTTTGACCTCTCATCTTGTATAACTGTACCACCCCAGATCCAACACGGGAAGTTAAGAACCCCTTGGATCTGGGGAACGGAGAGGAAAAGCATTAATTTGGCCTTCTTTTTCTCTGTCTCCTGTGAAGTTTTCTTTTTCTTTTCCTTTTCTTTGGGTTGTACGCTATGGGTATAGATAGACTGCGTCTTGGTTTTGTTGTTGTCTGCAACTCGCCATATTTATCCAATAAATTCTGTTCTTATAATGTTGTTCTATGATACTCTGGTTTGTCTGCCAATCAGAGAGGACTAATTCGAGTCTACAGAGATGGAACCATCATGTTCCGTGTCGTTCTTCCCTGGTGTTCGCCCTTGTGCATATAATCCATACTCGAAGTTCAATTGGACAAGGCAGATACGTTGATTCATGCAACCGATGACTCGTATAGCAATATCTGAAAACTCATCGTCGGGCTTTCAAAAATCCAAGGATGCTACGTCGTCCGTCGTTTCCCCCAGCGCTAGATCCCGACCAACTTGATGCATGATGCCCAGGCAGCGCATTTCTGCGTCGACGCACGAGATTGGCCTACGGGTGACGTCAAAACAGTTTGCCTGGCTAGGTACTTTGCCCGCGACCAAAGGGGACTCGACAATGCAGTGAAGGTATCGCTGGTGCAGGCAGCCGCGATCACCGACCTTCATGAGATCGTTGAATACCTTTGCGACAAGTTGGCTTCTGAGGCTTTGAAGTCTATGAACTCCAATTTGGATCAATCTATACAAACCTCTGTCCCGGGCCGAAAAGAATCGAATTTATCGCACTCTGTACCGACTTCAGATCTGTCGATAGCCGTGAGCCAGATGATAAAACCTCTGAATTTGGGTGGTTTTAGATTTCAAGAATACGGTTATAGGCTAGGTAGCTTGCACCTTCATTTCGCGTTAACTATATTGATGTTTCAATTGCTTCAAGGATCGTAGAGTGAATTGAATGGGTTACATTGAAGTAGGGTAAAATATGTACAAACGCCGAGACCAAGACCATCTAAGAACAGAACGACGGACTCAAATCAAGGAGGGAGAGCAATGTATGTTGCTGTAAAATTGAGGGAGGAGAGAAAGGTATCACAATTACAAAGACCAGCAATAGAAGAGGTATCGAACGGCGTAAAAAGAAGGGACAAGATAGCATGAACAGACAAGTCATGGCAAGAAATTCATCAGAAGATGTTCCAGCGACTGCGAGTATCCTTTGCGGCCTGCGCACGATCCGCTTTCCGGCGACCGTCCAGCTGGCGGATGCCCTCGATTTTTTGCAGAGCCAACTCGAGAAGCTCTTTCTTGCGGATAATGTCGAGGTGACGACGGACGCGCGGGTCTTCGCGAGCAAAGCGCTCAATCTCGGCATCGGAGAGGTGTCGGCCAAGTCGTGCGTCGAGCTCACGGGGGAAGTTGTAGTAAAATTCGGAGAGAAGTTCCACATTGAGGAACAAGACTGCCGTTGAGGTAAGTTTGTCGGCGACAACATCGAGGAAGACCTCTGGGCAGTAGTATTTGTTCTTTTGCGTGGCGCATTGCTTCGATCGAACAGCCAGGAGTCTCATTTTGATAAGATCGGCTCGATCACGGAGGAAGATACCCTGTCGACCTGGAAGGGGAAAAACATATTAGTTGGAAATCTAGTGTGGTGTGCAATTAAGGTAGATTGCTTACCCCTTTCCAGCAGGTCAGCACTGAAGCCACCAGCGCCGCCGACACCATTGCCCTCAAGTACCACATCGCCCTTGAGGACCTTGTCAATGAATGTCATCACGTCCTTCAGCTTGCGCTTTCCAAGTTGATCCTCCATATGCTTCGTAGCTGACTCGCAAGCGCGAAGTTCTTCCTTCAGCACCTTGCTCACGTTTTCCCTACCCTTGGCCCACTCCGAGTCCTCAACCTCTATCTCAAACTTATATGGCTTGATGCAGTTCTCAACTTGGTCACTGGTGCTGAAGAAACGGTCATTCAGAATGCTGTTACAAGCATCTGTGATCTGCTTGTGCGCTCCTGGATGGGAGGCGAACGTCGAAGTGGCAAGGAGCTGGTCCACATGGTTCTGGAGGGCACTGGCGACTACAGTAGTGGCAAGTCTGCCAATACCGAGCTTCGTCAAAGAGGAACTGGAAGCATCAAGTTTCCGGTGCCAGTACAGCGACTCTGGATCGGCTTTGGGTAGATCCTTGAGCGGGTCCAATTCTGGTTGTCTTGGAGTCAGGTCCTCAACGGGCTTGTTCCAATACCGCTGGGCTAGAATATCCATGACCCGCTGGTCCAGTTCGGCCTTTAGCATCTCGCGGACTTGCGGTCGACCAAAAGCCTCGGCAAAAGCCTTGAATGAATGCTTGAAGCTATCCAAGCTCTCGGCGAGGTATGACTCTGCACTCAAGGGCCGGTCGTTGTATTGCACCTTGAACTCATATGTGGCTTCCTCAAGCTCCTGGCTGATGGCATCTCTAGTTCCCGAGAGGCTCGAGGCCATGGTCTGCTCAAGAACATACATCAATTTCTTCCTCAAAGTCGTGACGCCGACAGAAGTATCTGAGTGAGGCCCAAATTCGGACGGATGGGCCGAGAAGTAAGCATTCTCGTTCTTTAGAATGGCGCTAGTGATGTTTCCAGAGCCCCGGGAGAAGAGGGCATTTGTCTGAGGAATTCGGCTAACGACACCCACGTATCCCAATCGCAGAGGGTACTTCTTGTCGGTGAGAACATCCTGGCCTCGCTCAGGATCAACGAGATCCATCTTCGTAATAACACCGATAGTTCGCTCACCGCGGGGATCCACGCGCCGACTGGAGCGCAGCGCTGTCGAATTTGCCAAATCCACATCAGCCGCCGAGATAGCCAGAATGATGTTGGGAGCTTGGATGTATTTGTCGCATAGATCGGCAATCTTCTGCTTTAGCTCCGGGGGCTGATCGTGGCCTGCCACTTGAATATAACCCGGGAGATCAATCATGGAGAGGTCGGGAACATTCGGCGAATAGATCGTCAATTGAATAGGGTCGTCCGAGACACAGTCTTTTTCCGGGACGGCAAGGTTCAAGTCGGTCAAGGTGCGCTGAATCGAAGAGAAGTCTGTGATCTTGCCGAGACCCAGAGCAGGGAATTCACCATATTCAGCCTGGGCGTTCGGGGTGTTGACCAGGGTGAGTTCAATCGGACGACGTGTGACCATGTTTGAGCCCTTTGGCAAAAACTCATGCCCGACAATGGCTTCCAATACTGAACTCTTGCCCGATGACTGGGATCCGATTACCACGATGGAAGGCAGCGTCAACGTTCCAGACTGGCCAACGGATTGAAGGATGTTTCGAATCTCGATCATTTTGCGAGTAAGAACCATCATCTGGTCATCGTCTGCAATTTCCTTTTCAGGCCGAGAGTCCTCCTCGCTCGACTGATCGTAGCCAAAGGCGGCACCAGTCGCAGCAGCAGCTCCCACTGCCCGACCTTCCTTTGGCTCCTTTCCTCCTCCGCTAGGACCCTCTTTCTGAGATTTAGATTCTTCATCAAGTCGCAGAATCTTCTGCAGCCATTCAGGAAGTTCCACATCCTCTGTTGTCTTCTCCCATCCACGCTGTGTTTGTTCCGCCACATCCTGAAGACCCTGGAAGAGACCCGATGCTGTATTGCCCGCCGTTTCCCCGAATACTTTTAGCATATCCACTGCATAGTTTCCAGCCTCTATAAAGAATACGTTAGCCCACGGAAATATTGATGGTATTGGTTATTAAACGTACGGGTTGCTTGATATTGTAAATATGCGACTCCCGCAATCGTCGCCCCTCCAAACATAGCCGGCAGACGGACAAGCTTGAGGGCCAGCTTTGGCAACATGCGTGTGAATGAAAATGATCGAACAGCAATGACGTTATTGTGAATCCCATTTGAGCCGATGGGCCAGGCGCGTCCCCTCAAGGCGGCACCACCATCAGCACGCAACAGACCCCCCGTTCGGGCACCTGCATTATGAAGATGGCGTGCCAGGCCAGCCCGCACAAGCGGAACAAGTCGGTGGGAGAGTATCCTCCCACTCATGGCTGTCGCTGGATCGCATGCAAGATGTTTGTTGAAGTAAAAGCAGAACAGTGAAGATCGCTGGTCACTGACATCAACGTGACTTGCGCGAGTGGCCGCTTGGTCTCCCGTATTATCGGTCACGTGGCTCTAAATGACGTGCTGTGCAAGGGCAGTGAGCTGGTCGAAAAGGGAGAATTTTAAGTCAAACAGTCATTTGAAAACATCTCTTTGTTTTTGGTTTTCTGCTCTTACTATTGACAATTGCATTCTCGAGCCTGGTGGTTGTGTTGAGAGAACCTGGAATCCTCGCCTGCTGACCGATAGTCGGTGACTCTTTACCGATACAACACCTATCCATTGACCGACCGCTTGATCAACACCAAAGACTAGGCGTTAAGACCTACTTCTATTTCCGAACTCCTTTTTAAAGTGACCCGAGGAGTCTCCGGCAGGGATTTACTTATATTCTGGAACATTACTCAGGTGCTACTCAACCAATACGGGCCTCAGCATGTGCCGTTTTCTTGTAAGTTCAAGCTTCAGCTGACTGGGCGATCTCGGAGCAGAAACTAACGAATACCAACAGATCTACAAGGGCCGGAATGAGATTCGTCTCAGCAAGCTCGTCACAGAGCCCAGTCATTCAATCCTCACTCAGTCTTACGACTCGCGCCTAAGATTGGTATGTCCGAACTGACTCATGGGCATAGATGTAGCTATCTAGCTGCCCGAAGCTACAACCCAAGAACGAAACCACCCAACTAACGAAACTCCTAGGATAATCGTCGCCCTGTAAATGGCGATGGCTTTGGAGTAGGCTTCTATACGGACCCCAAGCTAGGTCCAGAGCCTTGCATCTTTACATCAACACTGCCGGCCTGGAATTGCGAGAACCTGGAACGTCTCGCGTCCAAGACCTGCTCGAATCTCATCTTTGCCCATGTCCGCGCCACCACGGAGGGTGCTCTTGCGGACAACAACTGCCATCCATTCCAACACAATACCCTCATGTGGATGCACAATGGCAACATCGGCGGATGGAACTACATCAAGCGCACGTTGGGCGAGTCCCTCGCTGACAAGTGGTACCTGGGCGTCAAGGGCGGCACTGACAGCGAATGGGCCTTTGCGCTATTCCTTGATCTTCTTGAAAAGGAAGGCGTCAATCCGAGCTCTGACCCCGGGCCCGAGGGCTTCGGACAGGCGCTTCTGCGCCGAGTGATGATGAAGACGATTGCTCGGATCAATGAGCTCGTGCGCGAGGTTCCAGCTAAGCACAATGTCGCCGTTGAGACGCGTAGTCTGCTCAATTTTGCGGTGACGGATGGACACACTGTTGTTTGCACGAGGTATATCAGCAGCAAGACGGACGAGCCGGCCAGCCTGTACTTCTCCTCTGGGACTAAGTGGAAGGAAGGGAAGACTAAGGGTCACTTCAAGATGGAGCGTCATGATAAAGGCGCCGATATTGTGCTGGTGGCTAGTGAGCCGATTACTTTTGAACGACGTGAGTTATCCGCCCCCGCAATACCCATCCAGATTACTAGATACTGACCCTGATATAGACAACTGGGTCTCGGTGCCGACCAATTCTGTGGTGACAATCCACAAGCAGACTGTACTGTTGCACCCAATTATGGACGAGTTCTACGGGGAAGACCTCAACCACGACCGCTCCTCTTGCTATGCAGTCTCCAAGGGCTTGGTCAGCACCGCGCCAGGTACAACCGTACCCCCACAGAATGCAGCCGACAAATGCTCGTCCTCCGCGAGCAACGGGCCTGGCCTGGATGATCCCCGGCTTGGACATGCTGGCAGATGTGCGGCAACGCATTAAATGAGATCTTGAACGAGGGGGTCCTCTTGTCTCTTTCGGTGCAAGTGCTTTATTGTTGGCATTGGAAGCACAGCCAGCGTTCTGTCTTTTGGCGTTGGGAGATCTCCTTTTAAAAATTGATACGCAATCTAGCATACGGAGTTTGTCGGGTTTTGACATTTGCTTGATTAAGTTGGTTATATCAATTTCCGCTTCTTCGGGCTTTCATGTAGATTTGGCGTGAGAACGTGACAGCTAAGCGAAATCCAGGAATAGGAAATTCGGCTTCATAGTCAAACTCAACGTCCACTCACTAATCTACAAGCGTGGCATTAACGGATATAATGTACAAAAGAGGATATAAAGATTGGTTCAAGGGTCCCTTCCCCTCAACTATCATCCCCGGATATATTAGCGTGTTTAAAGTACTTCATCCCCACCCAAGCCACAACAACCCAGACCCACGACATAACAGCCGTAAGTATAATCAACGCAGGGTAATACCCGACAATCGGTAGCGTAGGATCATCTTCCAACTCCGGCGGCGCATACGGAGTCTCACCGACATCCCAGGCCCAACTCCAAACTTCGAAGCAGCTGCCCATCCCAACGACAAATACCAGCCATGTCACGATAAGGATGATCCAGCCCCACCATTCGGTCTCGGAGTAGTCCCACGTATCTGCATTATTATTCATTTCCGCCGAGTGTGTTGCTAGGGGCGATTTGGCGCGGTGCACGGTGCGATAGGGCACGTCTGTTGAGAGGTCTGTAGAGAGGGGGTAGGAGGAATAGTCGGATTGTGTAGGGATGTGGAGAGCCGCCGGGGGTGCATTTTTCGATGAGCTCGTGCTGGTGGAGGTATTATTTGAGGCGTTTATTCGTGGGAAGGAGACGAGTTCCTCGTCGTCGGTGCCGGTTTCTTCGCCGCCGAGGAGGTTATGCGGTGCAAGGCCCTGTCTTCGCCGGGCCACGGGGGAACGGAGAATCTTCTGTGCTGTGTTGGAGCGGAACCAACTCGGTTGAGTATCTTCGGCATCGTATTCGAGGCTCTCGCGAGACCCGAAGCTATTCGCCCCAGAAGAAATTTGGTCCTTCGGAGATCGTGGCGTCTCGCCCATGTATCGAGGCGTAGTCGCATCCGCGGACTTGGATGCAGCCCGCTTCTCACGCGACTCGAGCCTTGTTCCTAGCAATGCAGTCTTCCGGAGTGATCCCCTTCGCCGTCGTGTTTTGCGCTGCTGCTGTATCACCGCCGACATTGCCCTGGCGCCCGTTGTTGCCTCGCTGTTCATATGCGGGATGGTGGGCGGGAGATCCTCGTTGTCCCCGTCCTGCTCCATGGCGTGGGATTTTCCTTCTGATTGCGCAGATGCCTGGCTCAGGCGTAGGAAGGAGAGCCTGGAGAGTAAAGAGCCGGATAGGTTTCGTTTGTGGCCGTTGCTTGCGCTGCCAGATCGCGTGCGATTGGATAGTCCGTCGACGGCTGGGAATTCCGCATTGCTGCTTACGCCATTGTCCATTGGCGCGGGTGGAAACTGAGAGCTAGCACCTCAGCTCCACGGCGTCAACTCCCCCGGCATTGGGAAAATGGACCAAAAGGAGGGTTGTCGTTTGTAGATTGAGTTTCACACTGATGGCGGAGAGCTTCCGGAGATGCGCCAGGAGCGAATTTGGGGCCTTGGGACTCAGGCACCAACGTTTAACTAGCGTGGCTATAACTGGTCCTTTTACAACTAGAATATAGGGACCTGTGAAAACGACGCCAAAAATGACAGCCTCTGGCGTCAGAAACGGCCTGATTCACTAGCGACTAAAACGACGCCGAAAATAGCTCTGCATCTAAACACAGGCCCCCTTCCTTTTCGCCTAGCCTGGTCGAGCGCCTATAGGATACTACGTCCGCCTCCACTTCCGGGGTAGTCTCAAAAAAGTTCCCGATACAGATATCTCGGAGACCAGGGAATGGATTCGGGCGTTCTCAATTCCAAATCTAAAGATTGCGTACGCGGCGAGGGAATTACATACAGAAACAACATTAGTTTCCGATGAGGGCAAGGGTAAGGTATTTTAATAAGAGACCACTCTATTTCTATTTCACAGTTTCTATATACAGTACTGACTCTATCAACAGACCGCATCATAGGATCACTCTACGTGGGACTCGAGCGCATTAAACGTGCAGATCACCTTAGATGGGAACTAGGCTATACCACTCACCCTGACTTTTGGGGTAAGGGATATGCGACTGAGGCCGTACGGGGACTTGTAACGATGTGGTCACGGATTCATGAGCTGGCGTTTGCTTCAATAGCACCAGGTACCACGACAGAGTTAATTGCAATTGCAAGGAAGGTGATTAAAGCAAGTATTAATGTATTGATTAAGAGTGGGTTTATACAGATTGCGGAGTTTCGGGGTATATATGGCTCGGAGTGTGATCCTTTTAGTGCAGTGAATACATCGGCTGCGTGATTTATTTTTATAGCCATGTTAGTAGTGATCATGCACTCGTTGACCTGTCTTTATATGGCTGTGGTATAGTAGCCCTTAATGATATACTATGCAAGTGATACAGTTCTACGGAATAACTATAATTATAGGGTAGAAGGCCCGTTATGACTACCAAGTCTGCTTCAGACTACGCCATCTACGACCGAGTTTATCTTCATTATTACTACCACATATGGTGGCTCATGGAATACAGCATTGCATGATAAAAAAATAGCCATCATTTCGGCCAGAATTCATGTATTTTGATTGATATGCTTGTAAAAGGTGATTTCAAATGAATTGAAATCCATTATCTTTGGGGGGATGCATCGACTTTCTCGAATAAGTGAGAATGGGAAACTGTTTTGCCAACGCTGCTATATCCTCCGGGCTCTGCCATCCCGTAAACTTCAGGGTCTCAGGGTGAATATGAGCCCCATATTGCAGCAGGTTTCTCAAAATAGTACCATTCCGACGGACAATTGCTGCACTGACAGCACTCGTGCATGGTACGCTTGGGACATCCGGATCTGTCCCTCTTTCGAGGAGTATGTTAACGATCTCTTCGCGATCATGCTCAATTGCTTCCACCAAAGCCTCCTCCTGGTTGAACCCTCTGTCTAAGAGGAATCTGAATATGTCCATATCGCCATCCCTTACTGCGACGACCAAAGGATTAAGCCGGCCTTCGACATGCTCAAATTTGGTTAAGAGTAGTTCAGTCATCTTGATATTGCACCCCACAATAGCCGTACTGAGGGGACCGCCATAAATGTTGGCGCCACGATCCAGAAGCACTTTCACAATGTCCTCTTGCTCATTCTCGACTGCCAATGTCAAAGGAGTCGGTCCGGTGTAGGGAAATACCATTTTGCAGTGAATGTCGGCACCGTTGTCAAGTAAGAACTCAACCATTGCTGTATGACCCCGCTGAGCTGCCAATGCCAATGCAGTTGGTCCATGGCCATGGCTCCTGGTACGGATTCATCCCATTCCTCTCAATATGGCTGGCGACATGCTGGAAGTTGATATCCGCTTTCTGGTGAAGTAAAAGTGTCACTAGGGTGATATCACCAGACGCACCGGCAGCTGGGAGAGATATATTGGCATGGTCGCGTGGGCTTGGGGAATGGGATAGGAGATATTCAACCACGTCTTGATGCCCGTTGAACACAGCCTCTTGAATGGGAGATGCGCATATTCCGAAGGGAACATCATCCTTATCGTTATTCAAAGACAATGTTGGATCACCAGCCTCATTCAATAAAACTTCAACCACGGAGAGAAACCCATTCCTGGCAGCAAGATGGATTGGCTTTTTCCCATGGCAGTCTTCGACAAACACGTCAGACCCATGCCTGAGAAGGTATTTGACGAGGTCCGTGTGCCCATACTCGGAGGCGTACAAGATTGGGTGCTTCATAGGACACAAATATCCAGGTTTCGCCGAATGACACCCTGGGGTAATTTCCTTGTGATGGGGGCAATCTCTTCCGTGTTTAGCCGCGAAGAGGATTCCACGGCCACTATGGTGGTTAATATTGTGTCGATAGAGGGTCTGCTTAAGCAGAAGATAGCATTGGCGATTGACTTGCACCAAGGCGCTGAGATCCTTTTGTGATTCTAATTCCTGCGCAACCAAAAATATCAGCTCGTTTGACAAGCTCAATAAGGACATGTCGAATGAACGCCAGATTGGAGATTTCTTTTCTGCTGATTCGCCACCGATCTGATCTTGCCCTCTTGTGTTGTTAATAGTGGGTTTCACCACGGTCATAGGGGTAGGAATAGCAAAGGACAGAAGGCAGGTTAGTGGGCTTTACCGAGCGCTTACTAGCACCTACCAGGTAGGTAGTTTAGGTAGGGCCTACAATTATTACCAAATTGAATACGGTAAAAAGTGGAATTTTAATATTTTGAGATAGCTTGGACAATTTCGATGTATTACTAGTACCTCCCCTCTTTGATGCTTGCAAGATTCTGCAACCACAAATAGTAATACAGTTACCGCGCTAAACTAGATATGGGGGGCGCGGTGTTGAATTAGCAATTCTCCCTATCGTGACTCTAGCACTAATTGATATCCTTCTATGTGGGCGCAACAGGCACCATGCATGAAAGCAAGATAGGTCAGATAAAAGACAATTGGCAACAGTCTAGAGACCCCGCGACGCGGAAAGCAAATTGGTATATCGGCTAAGACGCCAGCAGGCATGAAAGACGTAGCAGAAATAACAAATCAAGGAGTGATTCATAGTGTCAGGACACCCAAGGAAATTCATCACGGCATGTACGGATACTTGTAAGCAAGACGAAGAAAGGCGAACTTTGCATAAAACCCAAAAGTGGCAACCGAGAGGAAAGAGGAGGGAAGAAATGAGCCCATATCAAAAGAGTAACCAAAGAGAAAGGCCCGATAAGAGTATCTTTTAGAGTAGTGGAAGAGAAAATGAGCAGTATCCGCGGACAAAGTATGACCTAGAAAAGGTGTAGTAAAGCAGCAACGACAGACACTGAGAAGCAGATTTTATACAGCACAGTTCATGTACTGGAGAAACAATGCAATAGAAGCTAAGCGAAAGAGTTGAAAGAACAAAAAGACCAGGCACATGACAGCACAACCAGGAGGATAGGAGTAGGGAGGTCGCTTTTATTTTGAGAGCACCACGCAAGAGTGAAAAGTCCAAGAAAAGGACCTTGGACCAGTCCGTGCATGCTCAAGGGAGGGATAAGGCAGAATAGAGTAAAATAAAATGAGATGAGAAAGAAAATATCGAACCAACAAAGTGGATTTGGGGTATTCGGTGCACAACACACAAATTCCATTTCAAGACAAAAGCAGTTTGATCGCTTGGTAATCCACTTAAACAGGCAATTTAGAAAGAAAATGAACAGCACATGGAAATGGGGAGAGACGCGTGGAATGGGTGGGGAGGGAGGGAGGAGGGGGGGGAAGTACTTTAGGATCACAACAACTGGGAAGTGTGGTCCAGCCAAAGTCCAATGTCGAGATGTAACGGTCTCCCATGAAAGACGTGGATACCATCTCCTAGGGGCAGTCATGGGAGAATCTACGCCTGGTAGGCTCCATTGAAGTTGTTGTTGGACTGGTCCCAGTTACCAGACGGGGACATGGGCTGGCCACGACCGTAGCCACCGGCGTTCCCTGGAGCAAAACCCTGGGCGGGCATACCTGGGCCGCCAAAGTTGTTACCTTGTTGGTCCCAGCCTCGGCCAGCAGGGGCAGGACCTATGCCTCTTCAGTCAGTGAGAAAGGTTGGAAGTACACAAAAGAGAAAAAGGATGCCTACCTTGATTCATAGGGTTAGTGGGGCCTCCGTACTGGGGGAAGAAGCCTGGGCCGTTGTTGAAGGGAGGAGCAGCGGCCTGCTGAGGGGAGAAATTGTCGAACTGGCCGGTGGGAGGTCGGTCCTTGCCCCACTGTTGAAATCAAAGTCAGTGAACTGAAATATAACAAGACACCTTGAGGAGGGGAGAAAAGGGGGGGGGGGGTTGGCAATGGAGAACGTACGCTGCACTTCAGAGGACGACCGTTGACTTGGTAGCCATTCAGCTGGCAGATAGCCATGGCAGCATTCTCATGTGTGTCCATCTTGACAAAGGCGAAGCCACGGTCAGCCTGGAGACGGGTCTCGATGACATATCCGAAGTTCTGGAACAGAGGTACGAGATCACCCTGAGAGGTGTAGGGGGTGAGGTTGCCAACGTAGCAGGTAGTCTGCCACTGCGGGGTCTGCTGCACAACCATGTCGTAGCTCTGGATACCCTGGGTAGGGAAGTGGTGGTGACCGAAGGGAGTGGTCGGGGTCATGCCCATGGCGGCCATGGCCTGCTGCTGAGAGATCGAAGGCTGCCCCTTCTGGTTGGCCCAGTTGCAGCGGATAGCACGAGAGCCGAGCCACTCGCCATCCATCGAGTTGAGAGCCTTGTCAGCATCGGCGCGGTCCCGGAAAGCAACAAAGCCGTAGCCGCGGGAGCGACCAGTCTTCATGTCCCACATCACGCGAGCCTCGGAGACAGAACCAAAGGCAGAGAAGGCCTGGGTCAGGACCTCATCATTCACCTCGTTGCTCAGGTCACCAACGAAGATGTGGAAGTGGTTCGAGGTGTCCTCCTTGCTGGTGCTGGTGGACTGGTAGGCCCAGTTGACGCGGATTTCCTGAAGAAAGTGACACCGTCAGCACATTCAACGAGACCTCATCACCTCGTCACCTCATTTCTCAAGTCCGTGGAACTTACCGACTGATGGATGCGGCGGCCGTTGAGAGTCTGCATGGCGCGTTCAGCAGCACCAGGATCATCGAATTCAACAAAGCCGTAGTTGTATCCCTTGCTGTTGAACTGTTGACTCGACATCAGTGTCTGTTGGGTCTTGGTAGAAAGAGGTCTTCATTAGATCAGAAGACACAAAAATGTTTTCGCTGGGTCCGAAGTCCGGATGGGAGAAAACACAAAAAAAGGAAGGAGCTACTGAGGGGGTTGCGGCTGCCGATGTCAGGCTTCAGGGCCAACTCACATTCTTGTCCGGGATAATCTTCACGCTCACCACATGGCCAGTGGTCTCGAAAATCTGCTTGAGAATATCCTCTGTGACGCGGGGGTCCAAACCACCGACGTAGAGAGCTCTCTTGTTGGGTTCGGGGGCAGCTCGGCGCACATAACCACCCGCACTAGTGGGGGACATCATGTTGCCGGACATGGGCGAGGAGATGGCCGTAGGGATTGGGTTCGTATTCTGAGGAATCACAACGGGGGGCCGTGGAGGCGGGGGCATGTGGGAGGGGTTGGTCTGGCCGTTGCCTTGGGCGCCATCATACTGCTGGTTCTGAGCAGTAGCGGGCTGAGGGGCCGACGGCAGCGAAGAAGGGGTGGTAGCGGGAGCGTTCTCGGCCATCGTGTATAGGCGCCTGAATATATCGGGATAGAAAAAGGCGATCGCGAATGTTCAAGGAATGCTAAGAGCAGCGGTAACAAGAAGGATCAGACGAATCAGGAGCGTCAGGACAGGTCGACACAAATTCAATGGCGGAGATCAGATGCAGGGCGTAAGACCACTGGCGCTTTTAGAAGCTGATCCGATAATTATATAGCCGGAGCAGGGAGGACAGGTGTTGATCGCGGGGCTTTTTGGAGGTTCAATGGTCTTTGAATGGGTCCAAACAAAGAGCAATGAAGACACAGCAAATCCTTCGAGGATCAGACTGTTATCCGATTATGGGATCGGTTGCGAGATAGATCGGTAGCCGGAGTAGAGGCAGATATATTCGATAGGATGGTATCGTAGATCGCTGGGGAGACGGACAGCAGTCACAGAACCAAGCGCTTAAAACTGCACAGAATCGAATGTAGACCGATGGGAGAAACCCCAGAGAAACCAACAAACAACCGTAAGAAGAGCTAGGAAAGCTGGCCAAACACACAAGGAAACTGGCTGGACAGATCACGAGCCACAAAGCCCAGAAGGAAAAAAAAGAGACGATGGAGCAAAACAAAAAGAGATAAGGATGGGGGGGGGGGGAGTTGTAAAAGGAGGAATTAAGTCGAAGGTCGAAGAGTCGAAGATGCCGATTGAGGTGAGGGTCGCCAGTCCCAAGCGCCAGTCAGGAGGAGTAGAGGGGGAACCATCCCCCAACGGGTCTAGTCTCCTGACTTTCACTGGGAACCGTGAGCTGTGTACAACCTCAAATGAGTACCACCCGACAAATCACCGTCCTGCCCCTGCTTGTGCTCCTGATTACACCGCGGACACTCTCTTCACGATCCCAATTCCCTACGATCTACGATTATCCACGAACACCGCCATGACCACCAGCTTCGCCAGTCCAGACTCCCTCGCTGAGCTTTCCGCCCTCGTGGAGCGAACGGTACAGCTTCCTTCCTCCGCGCCCAAAAGAGACACGCGACCTGGCCGAACGTCCTACTGACAGTGAGACTCAGCTCATAGATACAGGGCGATTGTTTCGCAAATCAAATTCCATGGTCGCCAGCACCCACCTCCAACGCTCCATCCCCGCGTATTATGACGGCTTCCAGGATGCGCTAGACAACCTCTCCGAACAAATTGTGAGTGCACAGATTGAATGTCAAGGGATATCTCAGAAGAATTTAAGAGAAGCCTTTACGCCTTTCGAGATTTCATGTTCCCCCCTCTGTACCTGCGTCCCCGCTGACGGTATACAGTTTATCGCAAAGGCCTTCCTGGAGAGGGACTACGAAGCTATCAAGGCGCGCGAGGCAGTCCCCCAACCCGTCGAGGATGTATCCATGAGCGGAATCGATCAGAAGACGGAGACAGAACAACCGCCGTTGGCTCTCGAGCAAACAGACCCAGCTGCGCGACCTCTCAAGGTCGAACCCACATCGGACGATTTCGCCACGGCAGGCCTCTCCGCACCTACAGAAGCTATCCCACCACTCCAATCCAGCGAACCAGTACCGAAGACAGAAGAAACAGAGACAGGAGGAGTATCGACGGACCAAAAGTTTCCCGGAACTACTGAAGGCATTCAATTTGACACCGTGCTCGATGAGGCCGGCGCGGGCAACTCATTCGACCTCAACTACGACTTTGGCAACGACGACATGGGCAACCAAGCCTTCCTGTCCGGGACGGCCTTTGGTAACACCACGACCGGCCCTGATAAGCCTGGTGCCTCCCTACCTCCGACTGATAATGCGACCGCGGCCCCCGCAGGCGGGGGTGCGTTTGATCTGGAGCTGGGTCAGACGGAGGGTGCCAATGCATTCCCAGACGCGGGCACTGGGATGGATGATATGATGGGACCGGGCGAGTCGAGCTTTGATGATCTGTTTATGGAGAATGAAAACTTTGGCGAGACAGCGGGGGATCTGCACCAGCTGGAGGGTGATAGTCTGATGGAGATTAATGAGCTGGATGATAGTTGGTTTAGTTGAGGGGAATCCAGCGATGAGGCAATTCCACCCCGACATGGAGATATGTGTCCTCCAACTCCATACCCTATACTCTGTACTACTACTACTATGTACTATATGACCCCTACGATCTTCTGTGTAATCGATGGTGGAGACATTTCAAAATAGTTTCCCAGGATCTGCGATCATCTGCACTCTGCACTAGCGAGATCTGCCGGACTAGTCATCCTAGCTCTACACATCGGAGCATACTGTACTCCGTACTTCAGTAGACCTGGGGGTGAGAGAGTATAGCAAACGAACATTAGTTCTCGACAAGGACCGCATCGCGATCTCCCGCTATTTTGCTTTTCCTCCAACTGTACAGTTGTGTGTCTGTGCCACTTAGTTCACAGATAAAAGTATGAATGGCCGAGGTCTCATTCACCGCAATTCGATCAGTTCGATAAACTACGATCTCCAGGGCTGAAATACTAAGGAAAGACGATCCATCCAAACATGATCCACTACGGAAACGGTGGTTTGAATAGTGCCTACTAGCACTTACGACCAGTCGAAATACTACCAAGTTGCACTTCCCTCTTCCAGTGCTAGATTAGATAGCTTGTTAGCTTGGCTAGTTCGTCCCCGATCAGTCCAGCTGGACCCTGACCAAACTTCCTCGTTTTCGCCTTCTTCATGATGTGCTCAGCAGGTGGTACAGCTCGACCCCTTAGTAAGGTCAATCGGTAAGCGCGAAACGCTACCAAGGGACTGGCCCCGTCCATCGCAGGCCTCGGCCAAGCACCCCGTGATCAAATGCAAGCCCCGGTTCTCAGCCGATGACGTCGAAACGTGAAGCCTCGCGGATACTTATCCCTGCTTGATTTGACTATATAGTGACCACGACGTTCGAACTACTCCATAAAGTGATTGAGTAATTTCCGGATGGGGCTACCTACTCCACTGACGTGGTGTGGGAAAATCAGGGCAGAGGCAGGGGATCGTGCCTTAATTTAGTCAGGGCCGAGAGCGATGGGTGGGCTCGAGATGTCAAGATTAATATAACAGATGGCCATGGAGGATGCGGCTTTGTCCAATGAAATAGTCGATTGCTGGACGGTGTCGTTGGAGGCACTGGGAAGAAAGTTTAGGGTTCGTGTGGAGGGTCGAACGCCTGACTTAACGGTTGATGGAGGTGGACGCGTGGGCTCTTGTGTCGATGAGGTCATTGCCAGCTGTCAATCTGAGGGTTTGGCGTGGCACTGGGGAAGGATTTACCCTGCACACGGCACACTAAGGGTAGAGAGCAGGGAAGTGAAAAGCAGATCGTGGTGGTCGGTGCGTAGATCTTGATGGAAATAGGTAATCGTACAACTGGGTAGATATACAGAGACTCTCTATCTACAGTAGAAGATGAAGAAGTACTACAACACGTGTTGAATAGATTCTACTGTACGGGGTACCAATTTCATCGAATACTCCAAACCATGACGTGGGTCTTCTACACTCTCCCTAAAAGTAGAAGATATTACTAAACCAAGGATGATTAATTCGCCTCATCTACCCCAACAATGACTGACAGTTGATGTCCTTCCACCTCAGTCAAACGGAGTTGAACAGGCACTCAATCCCGAGTGTCTTCTCCGCGGAGGCCCACTCCCGGCCATTCACATCCTCATTTCCCCCGCTGGCCCATGCAGCAAACTCTGAAAATCAGGGCCAGTACGACGCTGGTCAGGGCCATACTTTGAAATAAGCATTTTGTCGGGAGAGAGCTCCTCGCAGTGTGACGGAGGAGGTCGTCTGCCCACCTCCTCTGTCGAGGGACATACACATCGAGTACTGTGACTACATACAGTACGGAGTATGGAGTACATGCTTACACGGACGGTAAGGTTCAACGGAGATCCCATGCCTCGATGTTCCTCGGGAGTTTGCACGAGGAGGTAATACGAATCCGCTCGTGCGCCTTGGATTCATTGCACTTTAGTTGCGTTTGAGTTTCCCCCCCTTTTGGATCATGGATCGGTGTAATGCGGGCTATTTGGAATCTCTCCTCACATGCGACGTGCCGATGGAAGCGATCTCCCCGCACCCGAACCCTTCCTATCGCCGAATTCCATAAGTTTGGAGACTGCCGTAATATCCGCTGTGTAGAGGAAAGTATGAGGAGCCGATATATCCGTTTGACGGGGCAATTCGGCGCAGGTTTTTTTGTTTGCATCGGGTCGCATGTTGGATGCCTGGGGTCGGGTGCTTTGGAGTGTCGAACATGCATTCCGTGTGGCTGTGTGGAGAGAGAGACTATACCGTCGAACATACTGTAGTTAAGCAATAGTCACAGTACTACAAGTACTAGGATTCCCAACCAGGCAAACACTTTCTTCATTTTCATCGGCTCAATTTCTGTCCAGCCCTATTCTCAACTGTCGAGAGGGTGGAGTTCAAGACGACCTTTTCCGGATGGAGTATCACTACTACTTACGGAGTATATAGGTGTCGTCCACCTACCTTCATGTGAGGCATACTCCGTAGAAGCAGAGGGATCGTCTCCACCATGACAAAAAAGGAATTAAAATTTCGAAGGCGCAAGCCGAATGAACCCCGAAACTCTAGAACCGCCTGACTAGCGTCTGACTATTGTTACCACCCGTAGTTAGTAGCTACTCTGGACGGTGACTACTGTCTGGCCCGGATCGCCGGATACGTGCGAAAAAAAAATGAGGAACCCCAATGGGCGTCAATATCATGTCATCATCGATCCGTGCGATCCACGTATGGGCCCTGCTGAGCCTTATGGCTAGTGGCCCTAATAGGTTCCCGTTATTTGACTACCGTCCTTCGTCCAGAGGACGATTTGCGAAGTATTTTATGACTGATTCCTCCGATCCATTCATGATCTAGCCCCAGGACCTCATCTAATCATCTAAGCATATAATCATCTCCCTGCCGGGCCTTTCACCTCTTGCTAGTGCCATAAGGAACCCTCTCTCGGTTGTACATTTGATTTGCTTTGAACTACTCCGTACCCTCGACGTGACAGGGACCTAATTCCGTGTTCACAATCACCGAAACAACGCCACATTACGGAGCCCAGACCACGCAGAGGTCCCCGTTCCCTCTCCCCCATCACCATCATCTCCACGCCCAAAGCCCAAAGTCCTCCCAAAAAAGCAAGTCAGCAGCAGGCCACCAAGTAGGCCGCCCAATACGCCCTAAAAAAACCCACAATTGCGCATCCTCTCAGCCAATCCGACGTGTCGCTGGGACCGATCTACACGGCCGATGATCACGGCCGAGAACCCGTGCTATGAAGTCAGCGCCCCGAGGTCTCCGTCTCCATCTCTCCTGCAAAGATCGGTGTGCTCCTTGCGTGGTCGATCTGCATTGAAGGGGTGACAAAGCGGAAACCATCCAAAAAAAAGGAAAGAAACGAAGAAAAAAAAATACCATACGGGTCTCACAAAGATTAAAACAATAGCTCGAGGTAAGTGTATCCTTTGTGTCGCCCTCCTCTCTCCTACGACTGGTTTGCTCTTGGACTCGTTCGTCTGGCTGGTGTACCCTCCCCGCATTCTTGCCCACATTCACCCACAACGAGAGGACAATCTTGACGACGAGAGTGACGGGAGATAAGAGAATTGAGACAGTGTGAAGCTGGTGACGGGGGAATCGCCCAAGGGTGCCCCCGATACATACCATCCAGCTCTCCAACTGTCCTCGCTTGACTGTCTTCTCTCTCTCTCGGCCAGTGTCTCAATCACCATCCTCATCCCATTATACCCCTCGAAGCCTCAACGTAATGATGATGGCCGCTCACATTCTCCCCCCGCAGACTTCGTCGCGATCCAGCTCATTGAGCCAAGAACAATCGCTCGATCTCGTCGCTCCGTTATCGCTCTCCAGCCTTATCCGCACTCGATCCGCTCGACGCCGAACGGTCTGTCTCAGTGCGACCGTTGAAGAGCAATTCCCAAAACAACTCCCCTCTTTTAGCCGTCGCAGTTCCATCCTCAGAAAACTGGCGGGTCCACGAGAGAACGCGAAGCGATTCCTTCGCCTACGCTCCGCCGGCGTCCATCCACCCACGCCGCCCCCGCAGCAGCGCCTCAATCCCCGCTCTACCGGCGCCCGCCCCGTTTCCGAAATCATCGTCTCCTCGGGGCATGCGAGGGAAGTTCCACGGTCCTGGGAAGAAGCCGATATGCGCTCGGATTCATCATCTATGGCGACCGACGTTTTGGCACGGGCGATGCCCGAGCATACTACTGCTGTCCCCGAGTTGTCCACGCCGTTTCCCCCGCTCCGCAATGAGAAGATTGTTGCGACGGGGAGTGGCCTCACGGTGGGCATTGCGTTAACAGAGCCGGTGCTCTTTCTACAAGGTTATGATCAGCATGACCCAAGTACAAAGAAATCGGCCATTCTACGAGGTCAAATACATTTGAAAGTGACCAAGTGTGTCAAGATTAAGAAAATCTCCCTTTGTTTCCGTGGTCATGCACAGACGGACTGGCCAGATGGTGCGCAATCCCTCGTTCTTACCGACAGACCAAGGTCGAAAAGTCGTCTTGCGTGCTCTACTAACACAATCGTCCAGGCATCCCCCCTAAGAAGATCCATTTTCATGATAAGAAAGATTTGTTTACCCACGGCGTCGTCTACTTCAACCACGGCGAAACTGCACTTATGCAAAATGACTATGGCGCACACTATTACCAGTACGCTAAACCCGCATCTCCCGTACCAGGAAAGGAGGGAGTAACCGCAACCACGCGAGAACTATTCTCTAAAAGCGGCTCGAATACTTCTCTCGGCCTGATGACCGCGAAAGACGCCAAGCGCCTCTCAGTACAGACCACCCGGGGCCATTCACGAAGTTTCAGCAGGAATGACTCTCCGGTGAGTACTCAAAATCAGCCGCAGCGCAACTACCGCATGTTCCCCGTCGGCGACTACCTTTATAGCTTCGAGTTCCCCGTCGACGGCTCGCTCCCAGAGACTATCAAAACAGATCTGGGTTTTGTCCGATATGACCTGGAGGCAATTGTGGAGCGCTCAGGTGCATTCCGGCCAAATCTACTGGGCACCCTCGAGATCCCTGTGATCCGTACGCCCGCCGAGGGTTCGCTAGAGCAGGTCGAGCCAATTGCCATCTCACGCAACTGGGAAGACCAGCTTCACTACGATATTGTGATATCCGGCAAATCCTTCCCGCTAGGCTCTCAGATCCCCATTGCGTTCAAATTGACGCCACTCGCCAAGGTGGAATGTCACCGTATCAAAGTATATGTGACTGAAAATATTCAACATTGGACCGCCGACAAAAGCGTGCACCGGCTGCAGCCGGCGAAGAAAGTGCTCCTTTTCGAGAAGCGCGCTGAATCTGTTAGCACAAGCACTTACCCTGGTAGTTCAATGCGCATCACCGCAGGCGGTGGCATTGACTGGGATCATCGTGCGGCTGCTGCGCGTGGAGAGGAGATTGTGGATCGTGCTCGGACGAATTTGCTGGGCAACCTGAATACTGATTCTGGCGTTGGTCCCACGGAGATGGAGTTCAACGTGCAGCTGCCGAGTTGCCACGAGATGAGGGGACGGGATGAGACGCAACGTTTGCATTTTGATACGACTTACGAAAATATTCAGATCAACCATTGGATCAAGGTAAGCAGTACTACTACACACGGATCTTGAATTACTCATGCTGATCCTCAATCAACAGATTGTTCTCCGTCTCTCCAAAATCGACGAGCGCGACCCAACAAAACGCAGACACTTTGAAATCTCCATCGACTCACCCTTCCACATCCTCTCCTGCAAAGCCACACAAGCAAACATCTACCTCCCAGCCTACACTCGACCCGCGACGGATCCAGACCCACCAGCCCAAGAATTCGAATGCGGATGCCCCGGCGCCCCGCCAGCATCACGCGAATACACCCTTGGCCAGTCCAGCTCCGACCGCGAAGACTCCACCTCGAACCTCCACCAACCCAACTTTACCACGCCCGTCTCTCGCAGCTTCACCAACGGCTCGGGCGGTCTTGCCCGCCCGGCACAGGCTCATATCGCCCACGAGCCGAGCATCGATCGTGAAGTCCAGCGCCCAATGCATCTTCTTCGCGCGCCGTCATTTGCACCACCCGCGTTCGAGGATGTACCCCCGCCCCCGCCGCTTATGACCCCGCCACCGGAGTATACGAGTATCGTTGGCAACAATGACCGCGAGGCTGTGCTGGAGGATTACTTCTCCCGACTATCGTTCTACGAGGAGCATGATGATGAGCGCGGTCTTGGCCGCGTCGATGTGCCTCTTACGCCCGGAGGACGGGTCAATCGCAGCATGGACGTGCCGCGCGAGTGGGTGCGCATCGACGACTTTACTGCATCATAATGCTCCTACCCGGGTGATGAGTGGTTCACTGCACAGGGTACGTAGCAGCGCAGTATGGTCGGTTCGTATCTGACGATATCCGAGTCATGAAGTCACGACTTTGTTCATATCGGGACTGGGATTGGGACAGGCGAATTCTTTCTAGCGGGTTTTTATAGATTTTCTTCGCTCCTTTTCTGCAGCTCTCTTTTGGTCTTTGGTTATTGCGGGGTTCTTCCTCTTGGAATGAGGACGTCTGGTTCGGGGTTGGTGGGTTGGTAAATTTGGGCTCGATTTATGTTTCCATCCATGGGTACAAACTGGATCTCTTCTATGATTTGCGTTCTCATTTTCAAGTCTACTTTTCATATCTGGGTTGTTCATATGCCATGAGTTTCCTGTCTAGTGTCATGTTTCATGCTGGCGAAAGGCGTGATGGTGTTTTGAGATATGCTACTTTCTCATTCCCAAGTCTTCGGGTCTTACTTATCCTGAGGAGCACAGCCTTGAACAGGAATTGGACCCGCGTGGTTTGTTGGTTTATGGGGAGTTAAGATTGGTGTCCTCGTTCCCTTGTCTATTTGCATACCGTTCTGTTCTCAGGTCAACTGTTAATAGCATGATGAATCTCTGCATTCCACCCATCCTGTTCATTTGCCATTCACTCTCGTATATCCAAAAATTGAAGGCATTTCAAATGACAGATGACTCTGTTTAGATCTAAATGAATCTTATCAGGGAAAGTTGTCCCTATCAATCAAGCCCGCGATAAGAGATAAGCGCAACGCATGGAACTGCCTAGTCTGGTCTAGACTGCTTCCCCACATAACCCTCGCCATTCCGAATGACATTCGAGCTCTTCTTTCCCTCTCTCACCGCAACGACTACGATACCGATAGTCACTAGACAAATAGTCTGTCACGCTTGCTGCCGCGCTTGTACACCTTATTTCAACGGCCCCGCTCTAGCGAGGAACGGATATCACGGTTTACCGATTCGGCGTATCTCGATATCACTGATAGCGAGTCTCGGAGGTGAGTCTCGGAATGTAAATTGATTTTGGAGCGATTGTACTAACTTCCTTCAGATCTGATTGGGACTTATCTCTACTGTTTCCCTCAGTATTGAGCTGGTCTTGATGCACCGGGGCTGCATCAAGCACTTCTATCACAATATTTCACATATCATCACTTGAAACATTCCCAACATGGCAATCGAAGTCGTCGACTTGACCGAGGCAGATATCCCAGGCGCTATCCAAGTGATTCAGCAAGCCTTTGCCGACGACCCGTATTTTAAATGGGTATTTGATGAGCAATCGGTATGCATGATAAGCACCCTTCTTCATACTACCTAAACCCATCCCCCAGAATCTATGTGGTATACATGCACCCAAGCAGACTAATATCCCATCTCTCCCGTAACGCGGTCATCTCGACTCGCCGTTACATGGACCGAGAGAACCCTGGCCCCTACAGTTTAACGCACAAAGAAACTACGACTCACTCGCCGCCCGATGCCGCTGGGGCATAACCAACGCCATCTTCCAAGTCGCCAAAAACACCGACGCCACTAACAGCAGCAATTCCTCACCCATCCTCGGCGTCTCCTGCTGGCTAGCACCACACCCACCCTCCCAACCCGAAACCTGGTACTCATGGTCACAATCGTGGCTCCTCTCATTCCGCCAGCTAACCACCAACATCTGGTACCGCGGCCACGGCGGACTCCGCACGAATCGGTACTGGATCTGGAAAGCCCGACAACAAGAGGCGCAGGCGTCGATTTGGGATGATCCTCGGGGATATTACTTTTGTAATATCGTTGCTGTGAGTCCGGAGGCGCAGGGGAAGGGGGTTGGGAGGATGCTTTTTGAGGCTGTGACGAAGAAGGCGGATATGGAAGGGGTGAAGTGTTATTTGGAGAGTTCGAAGAATGTGCCTAATGTGATGATTTATGAGAGGATGGGCTTTGAGATGAAGATGGAGATGGAGTGTAGAGATGGGGAAGATGCTTGTATGGTATGTTTTTGTTCTTCCCCCTCCCTTGTCTTTGCTTCTGCTGTACCTATTGAGCTGCTATGGCTTATCTTGGATCGGGAGATTGGCTAACTTGTGGCTATTGGGGAGTAGCTTTATTGCATGGTGCGCGAGCCCAAGACTGAATGATCTTGGAAGTGATAATTGACCATCAGATTCGATGGGCTTTCATTATCTCTGAGGTGGACAATTGGCATTGATAATTAGTGTCAGCAGTTGTTGTTGGTTCCACGTTCTTTTCAGCTTCTATTGTTTGCGTTATGTTTTTGGCATTGTTTCATGGACAATCGACTTATTCAGGACACACCAGAATCTCTATATTTTGGTATGCTCTGGCATTCCAGCACCATAGTCCACTTTGTTGCGTTTATTAGAAAACATCGAGGTCTGATTAACTTCCTTACATGCCCTACTCATTCAGGGCAATTCCAGTTACTCGATTCTCTCAGGGGCTTGGTTCTGGATCGCGACATATCTTTAATCTCCTACCTCTACCCCCCTGGCCTGATTCATAATCAGCCTCAACGCTCTGACCCATCTTCTATTCCGTTTCCTTGTAACTCTCTCCACAAACGGGCGGGTCCCGCATAAACTCTATTGTAACAAGCGCCTGCGCACTAGCGGCAGCCGTCGCGTTTGTCTTGATGACAGTGAATCTGACGTGTCAGTAACCTTGACTGTCTCCGATGCTATGTATAGGAGAGTCCCAGCTTCAAGCAGGTTACCGTTGGTGTCCAACGGGCTGCGGGCCATACTGCTAGTTAGAAGCGCGCTTGGGCCTTCGTTCATCCCCGCGGTTTCAGACTTGGTCCGATTTGAATATGGGCTCTTACTTGCTTACCGGCATATCTGAGGGTTCTATCGGGTTACGACTGATGAACTGTTCTAGATGTATGAAGTTAAAACAAAGAGGGAGTGCTATTAAGGAGTGCTCAACCCAGCACTGGTCTATATCAAGTCAACGTTAAACCCCCAGTCTGAACCTGCGGAAGGAGAGTGCTTAAACTTATTTGCACATTTTTCATTGAGTCTTCCTTATCCCACTTTGTGAGCGAATTGGGAGTCTCGGAAAGGCATCTGTGTTGTCCACAAACCTGTGAGTCGCTAGGATTACTCGCAAGCGAGGCTAGCTCCTTCCGGTACTAATTCACACCCAATCTAGTGGCAGCATTGTACATACTACTTATGCTACTCATGATCCTGCGCAAGGGCCGCGGAGCTTGGACTTTACTTCGGGCATCGATCACCCGACGCTTACGGCTCAAGGGCAATTCCCATCCAGGGAATGCATTTGAGAGTAACAATCAAGCAACAGGCCATCACGATGCCCACGACACACCGACAACCCCATTCCCAGATATCCACGTCACACCACCGGCAAGAAGGGATACACAATGTGGCGACACGGACGGGATTGTCAATCGGCTGGCCCTCCTCGCAGCCAGCGTTAGTCGATCATCCCCGCGCACAACCCTCTGTTCCAAAAGATCATCCTCTCCATTGTCCACAAACACACAGAGCACGAGACCAGACGGTGGCAACAGCCAGGAATATCTAGTCGACGACGTGGAATCCTTCCATTACCTGCGCAGTCTGATCACCATCTCTTGCCTACCGCAGCAGTCCTCGCCCGGACAAACTCCAATCAGAACAACCATCGATGGAGTCGAAAAGCAGTCACCTGGTCGCAAAAGAGCATCGTCAAGGCTTAGTTTGCGCCTTGGCGATCTCCCCGGTCTTTCTTTTCCCAAGGTGCCCAGGAAGCATTGTCCTCGTTATACCCCCCTGCCGCCGGTATACACCCCCAAGCCAATCGCAATGCGACCCGAGGTGCGCTTTTGAGAAAGGCTTCGTATGTCGTTTAATACCTTTCTCTTGGCACGGCAATAACACATCTGCACATACATTCTTGAATATACTGTGACCTACCTTTTCTTTTCCGTGATAGCCGAAATGATGTCGTCCCACCTTATCACACATATGATATCCTCTCTATCCCTTGGCTACCGCATACACATACATACATGCGCAGACCCCCTCACTCAGACAGAGACTGTTCTCGCAAAATCTGCGTCGGAACCCTGCATGAATCCTCCCCCGCCATCTGGAGGGAAAACGCCAAACGGAAAGAGATCGTCGGATGCATCTACTGTAGAGCGGGATCGAATCCTTGTAAAGCATGACGGGGATCTATTTCCAAGGCAAGTCGCCTACTTGAAACGATCCCCGAAATATTTTCCTCTGTCTCGAATAGGATGGTTTCCAGAGCCGAAGCTGGGTTGATCAACAGCCTTGCAGCCTTCTCACTCGATTAGGGCATCAGTGCCCTTGTGACTTGGTTATACTGTAGGTCATCCTGGCAGACAAACTCAGGACTTAGTGGGGATGGGAAAGACTTTAATATTCTTTATTATTCATTTTTGATGATGGATAGTCCACAAAGCTGAAGGAATTCCGCTGGTGGCGATGTCTTTTGGTCATAAGTTCGCCGTAAGGAACGTGGATCTTGTCCATGCTGGGCAAGGAGATTGACTGCAAAATTCCAAATCTGGCTCGGCTCGGCTACCTTGATACAGACAGGCAAGATCTGTCCAGGTCTGAAGCGGGGCCAAGCCAGCTAACTAATTTCCATTTGGTGGGCCTCTATCATCAGCTTAGAATACCACTCTAACCAAGAGCACTATCAGACGGTGCGTTTCATCTTGCGATGATCGTCCTTTGTTGCCTTCGCCTTCTTTCTCTCTCGTCGGGACATGGCGTCACGTATGTGTCTGGCGCCCCTCCGGAAGGTGGATAGCGGCTGTGGCTTCGGTTCTCCACCCGAAAGCTCAGTTACCGCACAGACCGTGTGATATAGACGGTGGATCCATTGATGGTGGAGTAATGGGGGGAGATAGTGTGTCGATGAGTGTTGATCAGGTCGGAAGCTGCTGGGGTATCGGACGCAATGGTGGGGGACGTCACCATTGATTCTTGTTTCTCTACGACGATCATACGATCTATTCCTGTTGAAGGGGTGTATAGATAAGATAAAGATTAGAGCTCAAGAACTTTTGTAGGACTGGGGTTTACGGGAAAGCACATCATCCACGAAAATGCAGAGGATAGCGGGACAAAAGTACATGCTTGACATTTAGCCTCAATTGAAATGTCTAGTGCCAAGCGTATCGCCTGCGAGAACGAGTCTAAGCGAGTTAATATCGGTAAAAATCAATAGCGCTTATGAATGACGAGAGAACATGTTCCAAAATTTAGGCTCGAGTAAAAATTGATTGCAAACTTATCTCCCTTGTCGGCTAGCACGTAGACAACGAAGCAAAGTGGCGGGTAAAAAGAACACGTTTGCCATATATTGGACTTGGACTTCTTGTATGGATGGCTTTGGATGAACCACTAAAACGCACAACCAGGGTCTAGACTAGTATATTTCTTGGAACCCATTTGGCCCCTATTTGCTTCCCAGTAAATGAAAACTCCCCGGGGGGGGGGAAACAGCCTAGGCTCCGACTTTTGAGAAAGCCCTGAAATACCAGCCTCTCGACCTGAGTCATTCTTACCGCGCCACAGCGAGCACCAAAATTGATTGTTTTACTGATAGCATGTGAAAATAGAGATATGATAAAAGTTTGAAAGAAAGGTCTAGATTGGACTTGTTAGCTCAAAGTACGATGTACAGTCGCACATATTGCAACCAATGCCAAGATAGTACGTTGTACCACGCAGGAACTTTATTTCTTATTCTTTCTAGCTGGTGTGGGTAGGAATGCATCAAGTCTGCAAGCCTTGATCAATGAGAATTGTAGCTCGATCGGGAAATCCGTGACCAAGTTTTTCCAATGGCTTTGCCAAGAACGAATCAGCATGCGTGCTGGTAGCCCAATATGGAATCTGACAGGATCCCCTCCCCTAACTAGTAATCTTCAGCACTTTCGCGGAGTCAAGGAAATTGTTTATATGCCGACAAAAGCCGGTCATGGAACAGACGGCCTCGATCCTAGGCCACGATGGTATGACCCTAAACCCTTATTTCCTTCCAGGCCCCAATGAACGCCCGACACGGCATGCAATTTTATTATCAACAGACCCAAGCCACTCATATGAGGTTCCGGACAATTTAAACCCGCAGCCTGCCCGGGTCATTGCACCTAAAGAAATGTAGAGTCCGCGCCTTGACCTGGATGTCAATGTAGTGCCATGGTGGAAAATGGAGCATCTGCATAGCCCTAACGCACGTTGGAACCTAGACTGTGACTGCTTGTTCCGGAAAATCCTCGAACACCTGGTAAGAAAAGAGAACTGTGCATGTGCGAGACGGACATAGCACCCGTTACACGACTAATTTCTGGTGCCTTGTCAACTAGCGCCATCTCGAGGGATTTAGCGTTCCATACATCGCTTCGCCATATCCGGCACTTAGTCCTCTGGGCTTCGGGGAACATACCGAGCACAGCCTTGGCCCTGGTAGCAACCCACCACTAGGTGCCTAAGCACGTTATGTCCCCTCCTTTTCCTTGGGTCGAACCTTTCATTTCATCGCTGATGTGTACGCCCTGTCAATCTCTTAATCCTTCGAACATCATTGCGTAAATTGAACATCCCTGTTCCGCTCCCGTAGTAGTAGCCCCCGAATCTGCGACAAGATTCCCTAATTGCGACCCCCGGCACTATTGCATCATGACTTTCCGGGTATTGCTGCGATTGATAGAGGGGTCATAGCCCTCCCCGGACCGGTAAATAAAGTTACGCCGGCCATACCGGAGACCGGTTCCTCACAATTTGGGCATCCTTTATCCATCCAAAAAGTCCTGCATCCAACTACCTAAACAGTGATGGACTATATAACGCTGCACAAACACAGTTATTGGATTACAAATAATGCTCGATTCGGATTGGGTGCATTTAAAACAAGCCCGGAGGGTGTTCATAATCCCTGCAAAGAGGAAAGCACAGATGAAGCTTCGTTGAAATCCTTCGCCCAATTACTACTCGACCACTGCGTGCATTTGTAGGGAGCATACCTGGTCTTGGCCTTTCCCCTCCCTCTCCCAATTATACTCCGAGCAATTATCTTCTCTCTTCCTTCGCTTGGGCCCTGTAGCTTTCTCGGCGATAGATAAAAGAGTCGACCGACTTAGAACCAATTCATTTCCCGAGTGCCTCATCATTGTACCCCTCACGCCCACTTCACATCTGCAATGTGCGCATCATCGTACCACAAGCACGGACCTGGCTAAGGAGAAGTAAAAGGCCCCTTCGCAGACACCAGCGCAGTATGCGAGCGATTATATATGCAGATGTCTGCAGACAACGTTGTATTCAGCACGAGCGACGTGATTGCCGATTGAATTCTAGTCGTCGTCATACTGCTGAGCTGGGACCCCTTCACACCCCCTGGTCTATGCAGCACGGAATTCAATGAGGGAGGATTAGAACCACGTTGCCTGCGTGGGTCCCTTTGGACCCAGACCCAAATCAAAGTCTTCTTAATCTATTTCATTTTTCAGTCTCTTGCGCTTGCCCTTGGCATATCGGGTCCACGGTGGAAGTCGGGAGGAATATGAAGCCAAGATCCTTAATTTGAAAGCGCCTATTTTTTTTTTTTCACCAATGATACCATGTGATTTAGATCGATATGCAGGGTGGGCTCTTTGTGAACGAGAACGAGTGAAATCAGATACACAAAATGTCCGAGTCGAGTCATATAGTACATGTATGTGGAAAATCTGCAGGAATATTATTGTAATTCCCAACCAAGACAGAAAAGGAATTCTCAACGAGAACATAGGAAACAATCGTACATTTCATAGGTCGTTAGTACCAGGCCCCCAAACTTTTAGGAAGATCAAGGTTCTGGTCAAGCCTTGCACCTAAAGCACCCCCACAAATTAACAAGTAGACCCCCAATTGATGCTAGTTAACCCCATGAAACCAAAAAGAAAAAGCCAAAAAGAGAAAATGTCCCAGAATTCCATGGCCGCTCAAGATCAAGATTAACGTTCGGGTGAACAAAAATGGACACGAGAAGCTCGGTAAAGCTGGTACTCTCCAGGAGTATTAGCGAATGTCATCGAGGGGCGGCCTCCAGGGCACAAAGTTTAAATTGAGTGGAACCCCCCCCAATTGGAAAAAAAATCTCAGTCGATGTTAGAAGAGAAACATGTCGATCCAAGCCGTACTGACGAATAGCCGATCTCAAATTATTATTGAGTGCCCCATCGTCATTGTCATCGGCTCGGGCGGAGCGGGTTGTTGTGAGTGGATAGCGTAAGGAGGGTCGGCTCCAACCGAGTCATAGTTCCTGGCTGTCCTGCTTATCCAGAATGCAAAGAACGGCAGGCCGGAACACTCTTCTTGTTCGGAAAGAGGGCGGATATTCGGGCGTCAGAGATCAACGCCCCATTGTATGATGGAAGTTTGAGCCCGAAGATGAAGGAAATGAAACCTCTTTTTACTCCCTTCGAGGTCATCGTCCGCAAAGTAGGCATTTGCCTACAACCACGATGAATCGATCGTGCGGGCTCTCGGAACAGCGCGCGTCTTTGTTGCCGTCTAGAGTGGTTCGCAAGAAATGGGCAGCGGGATTTTGGCAGGTGCTATAGATATAGTAGTTTTTGAAATAGTTGCACATTCTGGTCTCATGGGGATTGTTCGATAAGGAGGAATTGCGGATTGGAAAAAGCGACAGCGCTGACCCAAGCATATAAAGTCGGAGTCAAGTGTTGTGTTGTGAGTCGTGAATCAGACTGCGACAACAATAGACATGCGCGAATTATGGAAAGGTTGGAATCTGGAGATGTGAGATGTGTGAAATAATAATAGATGCGACAGCGCTAGAAAAGGAACCTTGAGACTGATGAGTTGGAATTAAATGCCCTATTTGAAGGATGGTGCCAGAGGGCCAGAGGGCCAGCACCAACAAGGTGGGTGAGGGAGTTGGGAAAATTTTTATCATTTATTTAAATCGATTTTTGTCTTTTAAATTATTTAGCAAAAAATAGGGCCGGGGCAGGGCACCTGTCCCCGATCCCAGTCAGTGTCGTCAATCTAAAGGAGCTACATCGGAGGAACGAAAACCCACTCAATTCCATCCATAGCTTGTTAAGAAGCTTGGTACGAAGGCAGTGTATCTCGCCATAGTACGGTACCTACTACGAGCTCCCCTAAATTCTGCACGGCACTAACTAAGCTAGCCCCTGCAAGGCAGTGTTGCTTTTCCCCCCACCCAGTTTACCCCTACGGAGGGTATACCTCTAGAGGACTCCGGACCTACTGGTCTGTACTTTGCCAGTCACCTAATAATCCCCACCCCTTGGAGAAAACTTATTCTCACAATATCATAATATTATCCCTGTCGCCAAAGCGGGTCTTGTCTGCATCAAATGTGGCTTTGATTTGCAAACGACCGTTGAGAGACACACCCAAGGACCGCCGACCGGAAATTTGCCCAAGAGGATTAGGGACCAGCGACCCTCTTCTTCAGATGACCAGACCTTCCTCCCGTTGCCGTCATCGCGGCATATTATTTATCGGGTAGGTGGGAGATCGACACGGTTCCCTGTAGCCGTTGATGCTTCTTCCACTCACACGTGGCGCTAGTCAGGATCGTCATGCATGAAACAGATATGCCGTCGTTGTACACGGTCGTCCCACGCAACAATGTTACGTAGTCGAATGTCAATGTTGAGCGGTGCTTGCTATTATACTTTGTCAATTGCTATAGTTGCTGCCTCCGGTTTTACAAAACGGAAAGCAAAGCAAATTAAGCCGGATGAGTGTCGGACAGATAGACATGACTTCCAATTCCCTTGTATAGTTTCTCTTTGATAAATAGTCCGGTGACGATATCTTTACGGAGTAGTAATGCCTCAGTTGGCTACCTGGTAGCAGACTGGGCACAGCACGTAAGGTTGGCAGTTGGGACAAGCCCTAACAGCTCAGCCGAGAACGTCAAGGAGGAAACCAAGGAATGGTTTCTTCTTCGAGAATAGCTTTTCATCTAGCTTCTGTCTAGCATTACACCTTCAAATCCCTGTTCATTGTGCTATCTAATAACTGGTTGGAGGTCCCAAGAAGATTATCTATTGCAGAATAACCGACGTGGATGAAGGCGTATGTGGCCAGAAAGAAAACCATAATAGATGAAATTAGATTAACTATGAATCTCCAAAGCAATACAATTTCAAATTTTGGATGACGGAGAGAAAATAATTAATTCTTTTTTGTAAGTAGTGGCTTGGCAGGGCCAGGGGGGGATGGCGAACTGTTCTGGACCAGCGCTTGACAAATCAGGATCGTTCAGCGTAGGAGAGTTGATGGGCAGCCGACTAGACTCGGAGACCTCGGAGAGCCCGTATCCGATCTCTGGCTGGCATCCGGCATTAGGTCGATTCTTGTCTGTGCCGCGCTTGCGACTTCAGTCAGTACAGTATTCCACGAATCAATTCCAGGGCTGGGACTCTAGCTCGGCCTTCTCCAGATCGCATGGTCCCAGAAAGGTACTAATGGATCCACTCGACAGGCACACTCAGCCCTGGATTGCTGGTTGGCTCTCCCCATTTTTTTGGGCTGTATAGGGGCGTGTCTTGGCTACATCGGTCATCAGGCAAGTCGAGTCGTACACCTTAAGCCACCTGTGAGCTAGTGGCCGGCATGAAACTTGGCTCCGGTGATTAGGTTATTATTGCCTCGATTGCTGGTAAATGTACAGGGTTACGTCCATGATGGATTGTGGTGCCAGTCCGGCTAGGTTTGGATGGAGTGGAGCAGGTGATGATCGCGAGGATTGGATCCTCTCGGGAGCCAGGGTTTATCGAGTCTGGGAGGATACACTGGGAAAGCCATGGAGGTAAAACGGGGATTGGAAGTTCGAGTTGGACGAGGAGCACGAGACGGTGCAACATCCACAAGGTGACGTTTCGAAAGTTGATAGAAGGTCAATTCCACATGCCGAACTTTTTAAGGAACCCTTTCGAAGTTTAGTGAACAAATAGTCTCGGGGTCCAGGCACCATCGTGTGGTCCCATATTTAGACCTGGCTTGTCTCGTGTTGGTGGTGTGGCCGGTTGTGAGACCCAATAATGGCACCCGCCGGGGGTGATACGGAGGCAGCGCGCTGCTGTTTCAAGCCCCAAGTTTATCGGGTTGTGGAGCTTGCTCAGGGGATAGTCCCGACTCCCCAGTACGAAGTACGGAGTACAAGCTTGCCAGTGGATCCGCCTCCGGTACAGCCCTCCGCAGTGTCTCACGCTCTGCATCGGAATTGGGGAAGGGCTGTGGCTGGGGGGGTTGCGCCGAGGTCCGCAGGCGGCAGAGCTCCATGGCTGAAAGAAATCCGAGGCAAACTAGCGGAAGTAGATACAAACCTGGTACTTTTTGTGCATCCACGGAAGGTTCATCGTTGTTTACGGTCGTTCATCGTTCATCGTCAATCGTCAATTGCCCGGGCTGGGCCGAAACTCGGCCCCGAGTCACGTGGCTTGTCCCATGGAACATTTCCCGCTGACTCATCCCCCGGGAAAGACTAACTTAACTAGGGCTGGAACGCTAAGCCAAAAATAGAAACGGCAAAACAGCCGCCGCCGAGACTGTGTCCCGTGACTTCCCCCTTCGCAAAGCAAAGATCACCTCCTTCATCGACGAGCTGCTACACTTGTTGCGCCGCTCGCTTGCAACGTGAGAGTCGACCCGCTGACCTGAAGGGATCGAAACAGAAGAAAACAAGGGTCTGTTCAAGCTCCACCACCGCCTCTCGCTTCGCTCTCGCCAACATCTCTTTCCCCCACCGTTCCACCAACCCCCATCGTTGTGGAGACAGCCGTCCTGTCCTTCGCTTTGTGACCGCCCACCACAACGGGAAACCAAGTATTTGTTGTCGCACTGGGCGACAACCTCATCGCCAGACATCATGGGGTTCGGTGATTTCAACTCGATATGCGAAAAGACACCGTTGCCGCTGTGCCTCCTGGTAGGCCCGGCCTCGTCGATCTCCGGTGCCACGGGCATCATCTCGAACTGCTATGCGCGAAACATTGAGGTCGCCAATACCATCATCTTCGAGGGTGCTGCTTCCTTCATGCACATCATCGCTCTTGGCATGACGGTGATTATGATCCTACATATTCGATCCAAGTTCACTGCCGTCGGTTCGTCTTACTGCTTCACTCAGAGATGGCATTGAAACAACTCAGCCCTAACCCGTCGTATTTTTAGGCCGCAAGGAAATCATTACCTTCTTCTACATCTACCTGGCTCTCACAATCTGCTCTCTTATCATCGATGCGGGTGTGGTTCCCCCTAGGAGTGGTCCGTTCCCGTATTTCGTAGCAGTGCAGAGTGGGCTGACATCCGCCTTGTGCGCTTGCTTGCTTGTCAACGGTTTCGTGGGGTTCCAGTTGTACGAAGATGGCACGGCACTATCCGTATGGCTGGTCCGAATCAGCTCCGCCGCGATGTTTGCTATGACCTTTGTGATTGCCCTGCTGACCTTCAAGTCATGGGGTGGACTTGGACCCTCGAACACTATTGGCTTGTTTGTGGTGCTTTACCTACTCAACGCCATTGCTGTGGCTATCTATGTTGCGATGCAGCTGTTGCTTGTTGCCAACACCCTGGATGATCGCTGGCCTCTGGGACACATCTCTTTTGGTCTGCTGGTCTTCATCATCGGACAGGTTCTGCTCTACGCATTCAGTGATACCATTTGCAACAACGTGCAGCACTATATGGATGGCCTGTTCTTCGCAACTTTCTGCAATCTGCTTGCGGTAATGATGGTCTACAAAGTAAGATTCAATGAACCAGATCATCTGCGTCCCTTGCTAACAAAGTCTTAGTTCTGGGATTCGATTACCAAGGAAGACTTGGAATTCTCAGTGGGTGTCAAGCCAAACACTTGGGAAGTAAAGGAGCCCCTTCCCGAGGAAGACCGACGCCAGACCGTCTATCAAGACACCAACTCCGAATATGCTGGCAGCATGTACCACCACCGCCAGTCGGCATATGGTCATAACAACTACTAGTCGTCATCCTGATCTGTAAATGTGTCCATGGATATGACGGTATTTCTTGCATTTAGTCTTTAGCTAATTTGCCCTGGCGCTGTACCCGAAGGGCCTGATATTTAATACATTTGATAGGATATATGCATGATGATGTCTCGCAACGACAAGGGTGCCGTATTGGAACGGCATTGGTACCGTTTTAGGCTGATAGAATTTCTTGATTTCCATGGGTACAATGGTGCCTAGCTTTCAACTATGCTCAGTCGGGTAATAGCCTTCGCACTAGCGGTTACAAAGGATGCGCTATTTCCCTGATCAACGCGGTACTGTAATGCTCCGACACTTTGCACGACAAGTCTGTGGCCTGGGGCCGCTTCGCATACATTCGCATGTACGAATTTGACTGAGGGTGGGGGAGGAGGTCATTGCATTTTAGTTCAAATCCTGAGTAAAGATGTTGCTGATCCTTTGATCGATCCTGCTGCGACTCGATAAAATCCAACATCTCGTCCCGGGAATATCTTGAAGATAAGAGATACACCTTGGCAGAGTCACGGTTGCCGAGAACCAACCCTTAGCGAGAGCCAAGTCTATTTCATGGCAGACACATTTCCACTTGGAAGCCGCCCTCTCCTGTCATGACATGCCAATAATAAGAACCGCCATCAAGGCAAAAAGGATCATCGAGAGGCTGAAACAACTGGCACAGTAAGATCGGCACTGTCCCAATAATGCACAAGATGTGAGCGAATCCTGAGAGGCGTAGAGCCGGTAAACAAAGTCAGGCAGCGGGATATTAACGGGATTTGCTGGACACATTGGAATAATATGCTGGTTCGTATTATCCATGTATTCGCAAGCATCTCTTGGCAAAAAGTATGCATCGGACAATATCACTGTCTCGGGATGGATACATACCGCACTCTGGACATTTAATTGAACATCATAGGCAAGGTTTCTGATGTGACGGGCGCACGCAAAAAGTTTAAACATGGACCCGCCGATCAGGGGGAAATGTCGGTTGGATTCTCCTTTCGACACCCAACAGATTTTTCACTGGTGCCCAAAATGTGTGGAGTAGTAAGCTCTACTGTCGGATTGCGTTTGAGGCTTGTTTCATTCCACGACCACGACGTCGTCCGCGTCCATGAAGTCGTCTTCGTCTTCCGTTGGTCCGGTTGAACTGTTGTACCAGCCTTTGTCGATCGAAATCATCAAAGTCTTGCAAGTTTCGCCGACAAGGTCGAGGAATGCCGGGTTGTCTTTGGGCAAGAACATGCTGACGTGCGCCTGAACCTCGTCAGTGGCCTTGTTGTTAACAGCTGGTTTCCATTGAAGCCCAGCTCGAGATGAAGATGCCGCTTCCTCGTCATTTTCCACTTCGGATGGAAGCATGCAGAATGTCCTGTTCTTTGACCGAATGATCTTCTGGCTGAAGGATGTTTTGCCAGTAGCCGTTTCCGCTACGAGATTCCCCGCGCCCTGTCCAAGGCAGGTGTAGAAGTTGACGCATTCGATGCCCCGATCCTCCTGGACCTTGACCAATCCTTCGAGACGCTGCTTCAGTTCGGATGTTCGTGCGAGACACCCAACGAATTCAAGATGGGACGAGACCCAGGTAAAGCCCTCTGTCAAGTTCTGCCGCTGAGAATACAGGGCCGCGGCACCGCCAGCAGCAACGGCTCCGGCGGCTCCCGCAAACATGGCATATCGACCCCAGCGCTGCCAGGATGGCGTCGCTGCAGCATCGGCACTTGGAGGCAGCGGTTTGGGGGCTTCTTTCACAGTGGTAGCAGCAGCAGCCTGGCCAGGTGTGCTCTTTCCATAGCCGAAGATTCCCGCAACCTCCGTAAAGGTGTTGTAAGCGGTGGTAGCATTGCGATAGTGTCCCTCGGCTCCGTATGAGACAACACCAGGTGCGATACCAAGGAATGGGGTGTCAAAGGCGAGTACGCCTTGGATGTGAGGGAACATGAAGGTACCTGGTTCTACGACCGGGGCATCATCCCCGGTTCGAGACGCCGATTGGGACTTCGATGTCGGATTCACGGGAATGGGCTGCTCACTTGCGAGTAACAGAAGTGTCTCTGCAGCAACAATGCCGCCCATGGAGTGCCCTACCAGGAAGACATGGACGGAGGGGTCGACTGTGGGCGAGGCAGTATGATTCGCAACCTCGAGATCGATGACCGTATTTTGTAGCCTGCGTGACGTAGAACATTAGTACAAGCTCACATTGCATTATAATCTTTGAACTGCCTGACCAGTCGCGGAATCTTCCCACGCATTCCTTCAAATCTCCTTTGGTCTCATATTTGGGGTACACCGCGGTTGTAACGGTAACTGCGGGGAGCGCCTTGCCCACTACAGCGCGCAGTTTCTCAGGGAAAGCGGCAAATGTATCATCGCCTCCCTGGGTGAAGCAAATTGTCAGTTAGGCCAGCTCATGGAGACGTCCATTTACGCGGTGTGTTGTCTCGGCATCAAGGGGAAAGAGCTACAACATGAACTCTCAGACATACCTTGAAGCCGTGGATAAACACCAGGAGAAGTGTCTTGCGCATTTTTGAATCACGACCCTGCAACTACCATTATGCGAGAGGTGCGAGGCACAAACGCCTTGGAGAGGTGAGATCAGAAGCTAAAAACAATGTCCGAGATGTGATGCGCGATCGCCTAGACTGTTACCTTACGTCATATCGTCACGTGTCGTCAAATCCATAGCATGAGAAAATATGGCTTCTTCAGCTTCAAGTAGGAGTATGTAGGGATATTTTTATGAGATTTATGGTATTCTGAGACTGTTATCATCTGATGAGGTCCAGTCATCTGTTTCAGTGCTCCAACTCTGAATGACTATAGCAGGCCGCACATTTGGCTGTCTATCTCTAATTGTATCTATTTATGGCAGTATTTGACAAGATGCTAATAGTGCAACAAAAACTAATATCATAGGTTCCCCGTACGTCCAAGCTTCCTCAATCGAAGCATGCTGTCCTGCAATGATGTGGCAATCAAGGTGCCATCTGGACTCCACAGATGACTTTCATGCACAGCTCTGTTCTCCGCCGACTGCGGTGTCCAGCCTTCCTGGATAAACCATTTCATGGCCACATCAGCGAGATGATCACCGCGTGTGGCATCCCAATTAATCATCCTCAATGCCTGACCATGTTGATGGATAATCACAGTCAGGGTGAGACTGGCCATTTCGGTCCAGTATTTGATGCCAAGGGCTCGGGGGATCAAAAGAAGGGAGTTTCTATCACTCGAGTACATATGCGCGCAGGCATAAAGATTATCGTATTTTCCCTCGGCTTCTCGCTCTTTGATCTGGGCAAGGGTTGCGTTCGGGTCTTCGTCCGGTGATCCCTTGAGGCAATATTGCGTCAATTGGCGATACTTCTCCGGCCGATCTTGGATCAATTTAGACTGATTATAATCCTTCATATCGACTTTGCGAACATCGAGCCCCGGGAACTCTCGCTCCTCGACGTTCCCTTGCTTCACGGCTTCGATCCACCAGTCTGCATCAACACTAGGACTAACAGGTTGATCTTCTGGTCGCTTCCCGGAAAGAATTTCGCGGAACCGTCCCTGCGCAGCTGGAGGTTGGTGATGGAAAGTTTTTTCATTTTCATCTCGCTTGAATGAGCATAGACACGAAAAGCAGATCTTTCCATCCTGGCGAGCATCAACCGCTCGAGTGCAATACATGAAGCCGTCGCGAACATGCCGGACAGTATATACGTATGGAATATCCAGCCGCCCGCCGACAATGAATGTGCCGGTCATGTCCTATACAGGGTCAGCTCTATGAACGACAAAATTCTAAATGACTTCTCCAGCGCCCCCCAAAACGAGGACTCACATGAACAACAAACCCCTTTTCAACAGTTTTAGATGCCGCGTATGCGGACTGGGCATATACATGTCCACCAAATGATCTGTTCCCTTCTCCAGGAGGAAATGGCGCAGCAAGCGAGCGGAATCGCTCAATTCTCTCCGGTTCATTGGAGCCAGGATGCGATTGCGCTGTATCCTCGAGGCGTTCTAACGCCATCAACCCCACAAAGGAAAGCGGGGTTGTTAATTCCTCCCAGTCATCTTCTGCCCGTCCAGTAGATGACATGGTGAAAAATCACACGAAGAAGGCCAGATTTGAGGTGAATCGGTGTATGCGCAGAATGCACGAACCATCCAAACTATACTCTCAATAGCCGCCGACCGAGTGAACGCAAGGCGATATTGAAGACAAGGGGTAGTAGAGTCCAAGTAAAAGAAATTCCCGCGACAGTTGACGTGCTTCCCGTACCGAACTCGGAGCCCAAGCCCAAGCCAGGTGTGACCAGAATACTCGAATATACAGTATGAGAAAGGGGAAAGATTGAAAACAACTACAAAGCTGGGGTTTGGCCGGGGAAGCCTCGGCATCCACGAGGTAGTCACGTGGTATGGGTTTCTCCTATCACGCGGCACGCCAACTGTGATGTGACCAATTGAAAGGGCCCACCTTAGGCCATAGATATGTATACCAGAGCAATTAAATTGAGTAAAGGTAAAATCAGATTCTTATTTTATACATGATGCGCCGATCGTGCTTGACAGTGCTGAATGGTTATGCCTGAATCCCATGCCATAATGATACAAGAGAAAAAAATAGAGGACGCTGTAGATCGATCTCCAATAGCGATCAAGGTCGTGTCTCAAACTTTCAAAATGAAAGACACCGGTTTTGCTGCGATTCCGCGTGTCGTCTAGATGGAATCGGCAATACTGCGGGTCTTGTTCCATTCGACCTTGCCCTCGACATCCTTAATCTCCTCCAGCTTGTCGCCCAACTTGACGACGGAGAAGTTGATCATACGCGGGTCGAGTCCGAGGGTGCGTCGAATGGATGTTTGAACAGGACCAGAGGCATCAAAGCGCATGATGAAGTGGTGGCCCTCGCTGTATCGGGCCTGGTGCTTGGTGGTGACCTTGGGCAGGCGGAAGGCACCCCAGTTGGTGAAGCCGCGAACGACGCCGCCGGAGCGGATGACTTGGACACCGGCGTTGCGAGCAATCCTATTCATGGGGTTAGTAGTCGGTCCGAAATAGAAAGTATGTTGCTTTCGTCGTTCATGGTGGGACGTACTCGCGAACCTCGTTGAGGCTGCCCGGGCGGACCTGTAAGGGAGGCGCGCAGGTTAGTCTTCACATCCGAATATCATCAGAACTCAATTGGAATGGTAACATACGATAGCAATCAACTCGTACAACATGGCATCGAGTGGTGGCGCGCAGACCCGATGAATAACGACGGAAAGGGACGAGGGACCAGCGTCGCGCAAATTCCGACGAAGTCGGAGGTGTCAGGGCTTATCAGCGGTCTTGGCACTTTCTTATCGACGGCGACACAACTCCGCCGGGGAAGCACTCCTCTTTCCTTTCCTTCTTAAACTCTCTCCGTCTCCCACTTCTTCTCTTCCTTTCAATCACTCCTCTCCACTTCCAAAATGGCCTCCATTGCTCGCTCTGTCCGCCCCTTCGCCTCCCAGGCCCTTGCCCAGAAGCCTCTCGCTTCCGCCTGCCGCGTTGCGCCTGCTTTCCGCTTCCCGCGGGGAACCCGGAGCTTCTCCCAGAGCCCACTTGGTGAGTTATTCTGTCCCTCGGAGCTGGCAAAGTGAGTCGCCAGAACGTTTCTGTAGGCGAATTGGCTATGTAGAGATATCATATATGCCTTGTTGAGCTCTGTATTGTTACAGATTGCTAACGACGTTATCAATTGGCTTTCATAGCTCAGGTGAAGAAGTACACCGAATCGCACGAATGGATCGAGCTCATTGACGGTAGCAACACTGGTTAGTCAATTGATCACCGCCCAATTCCATTGCTCAGTAGATATCTATGGACGGACCTATAATTAACAACCCTTTGCAGCCAAGATCGGTATCACCAAGTACGCCGCTCACTCGCTCGGTGACGTTGTCTTCGTTGAGCTTCCCGAGGCCGACCTCGAGGTCGGTGCCGGTGAGCCCGTCGGCGCTGTCGAGTCGGTCAAGTCTGCTTCCGATGTGCTGTCCCCCGTTGCTGGCACCGTCATCCGTGGTAACGCCGTTCTGGAGGACAACGCCAAGACCATCAACGCCAGCCCTGAGGAGGAGGGCTGGATCGCTGAGATCGAGGTTAAGGACCCTGCTTCTCTGGATGCTCTGCTGGATGAGGCTGCCTACAACGAGACCCTCGACCACTAAATGCTGAATGTGTAGAGATAAGGTTGCAATGGGTTTTAGAATGGAGGCGAATGGAGGAGAGATCTTTCTTACGTGATTCTGTGATGTTATATTATATACTATGTCTGACTGAGACAATTTCCTTTCAACAATACCACCAACGTGCCAGGCCCTCCACGGCTTTGGCTGGTCATGAAGCAAACCCATTTCCGACTGGTTTGTAAATCTCAAGTAATTGCGCCTGGTCAGCTTCAAGAAGGATTCCGGAGATAGACTCAATCTGGATGTGCCCCAAATTCAAACATAACTCAAAGCCTCAAAGATTCGCATAAATATATCCATCCATTTCCGGGCACCACCAAGTCGGTGCCAGGATGAGGTCGACTGACCGGAAGCCCAAGTGTATAGGCTTGGCTACATTACGATCATTACGCAGTTTACCGGTTTCAAGGTTCAATCTATCACACGAGGGGCATGTAAATGACATCGATAAGTAAAGTTACAGTTATAGCTATCTTCACGCTCGAACGAGTCTATACAGGGGGAATAGATTCACGGCAAATTGGGCACTGAAGGCGTAGCCTCATCCAGCTCTCCAAGCAAGCAGTGTGGAATATGTGCCGACAAGGGGTAACCATGTATGTCCGGCGGCTCAAGATATTTGAGGCACCCTCGGCAACGCTGCTTCCGCCCGCGGAAGTCGGCGCAGAGAGAACAGGAATCTCAATGTCTTGCATGCAAATGGCACAGTCAAATACAACCTTCTTGCGATCCTTGGACTTGTGTTTGTCATCATCTTTCGTATCGGTCACCAGATCACGTTCATCGGCTCGGAGCGAGGCAATAGAGAGCACGCCTCCAGTTTCAAGATCCTCGTCGGGCCCGTGAGTATCACGCAAGATTGGGTGATAGTCGTAGGCAGGAGGTGCCCAGCCACGAGGGACGAAGAATCGTGGGCCTAGAACATCCTGGCTGGCCAAGATCCAAGCTTGAATCCAAACCCATCCAACCATGACAAAGGCGGTTGTCCAGTCAGGACGAATGAACAACACATTTCCTCGAGCTGTAAGGAAATAAATGAAAGGAAAGAGCCGTAGGATACTCTGACCGACGACAAAATCCCATCTCAGAGCCTTGCGGCAGTTCCTCATGACATTACGATAGATTTGTGGGACCCAGAAAGAAAGATAGACTCCGGATAGGATCCGCGCATAGATTGCACCTAGCCTTCTGGGCAGGAGGAAGGCCCAGATAGACATGATGAACATTCCAAAGAACGCCAGGTAGAAGCGCGCATACATGGAGCCCACGTCGGTGCGAAGCTGTGCTGGCGTAGGTGCGGCGGTACGGTTGTTGGTAGTCGGTGGCTCCAAGTCATCATCAGGAGGGTCTTGATCCGGGGTCAGAATAATCGGGGTCGCACCAGTGTCCCGAATGGCTGCAGTGACGGGCAACGGCAGCGTTCCTGGACGAGCGATGGGAGTCGGCGGGTTGACTAGCCGTTCCTCGCGTCTCTCCGGCTCCTGCACAGCCCATATTTCCATCATGAATTTCATGCCAATGTAACTGACAGAAAGGAATGCCAAAAACAGAGCAGTTGCCAATACCAAGAAAGATACGGCGGCATAAAGCTCCAATACAATGAATGTAAGTACCAATCCATCTCCAAGCGCCATCAATGCAATGGTATAGAAACTGACCCGACTCCTCGTGGAAGGAGTCGAAGCCTCTTTGATCTGGCGAAGAAGAAGGGCAATTTGGCCAACGAACACGCCAGAAACAACAAAAATGAGACGCGCTGCATATTTACCATACTCCTCATACTTGGGTCCTGATAGGTACAATGAATCGGAGGGTGGAAATTCCGGGGTGCCTTTGGACTCGAGAATGTACCCGCAATCGGGAGAAAAGACAACCGTCGACATGACCATGAGAGGGGGGTCAGGGATTGGGGCTCCCACGGGATACCTGAGCTCTTGTTCCATCCGCTCTAGCAACAATCGATCGGCGACCATGTCATCGACCATGACAGGGTGTTGCTGGAGGAAGATGATATGCTCACATTTGGGCGCCGGAAACTCGATCTGTTCAGTCCCTGCCAAGGTGGACCACGGAAGGAAGGTTGGAACCCTATACCGCGTCTCTGATATGGAGTTTGAAAGTGACTTGACCAGAAGCCTGTGAGACAGCTCATAAGTAGCAGGCGAAAGTGTGAAATGTGGCAAAGAGAAAATGCCGCCAAATTTCTCGCTAGATGTACTCAAGACTATCCCTCCAGTCTCGGGAAAGTGCACACCGAATAACGAAAAGTACAAGTTGCTTCCCCAGAAGTCATCGCTTTCGACTGTCAGACTTGCGCGTATTTCACGGACAAGACCTTCTCCAATACGAAGCTCTTCGCCACCACCTTCTTCAATATCGAAATAAAGAGTACCTCCATTGCCCGTGATATTAGAGCTAAACGTTGTGTCATAGTATTCATGCTCCTGGGCAATCGCGGTAGTGTTGAGGGGTGTTTGGCGTTGTACGTCCGACCGTCGTACCCAGTCCCCGCGAAGCTTCCCTGTAACATTGCGATATACTGGGAGGAACAGCTTGGTGAGATTCAAGGGAGACGATACGTCGGAATCATCCAGCCCGCTCGGCAGCTGGAGCCCGGCATTGGAGAGGGCAGATTGTAGCTGATGGCGAACGCGGCCTTGGACTTGCGGAAACAGCTCCCATGCGTAGCTGTCGTTCTTCCGTAATCCGGCGAATGGAAGCCATCGATCCGCTGGTGGATCAAAATCCCCATACTTCGACTCGTTCAGCAGGTGTAGGGCGTGCTGTTCTCGATCGAGCTCACGCTGGCGCTCACGATCCTCATCGATCAACGGAGGACGCGACTGAGAGCTTAGAAGCAGGTAAAAAACCAGCAGAAAGAAGAAGAAAGAACCGCGGTTATCCATCGACGCCACGGGGTGTCGGCATCGGACTCTCTTCTTCAGAACGGGCCGTTGAGCATCGCGGGGCGATTGACGAGGATGCGCAGAGTACAATCACAGCTTTCAAATACCGCGATGCCGTCGAGTGCGCGGTAACGATCAATGACGAGGGTGGTAATGTGTCGGGGGTCTCTCCGAGTGGATGATGTACTCGACATGTGGTCGAGACCAGTCGCCTCCCCGCCCCTTCCGCTTGCCCAAAGACACCTATTCTTTCAGGCCGCAATCGCCTCCGCTATCTCCTTTTCCCTCGGAGCTTCATGTCAATGCGTTCCCCCGCCTGGTCATCCTCGACGGAAGTGTGTGTTCGCAAGGCCATCTCAATGGCTTCGAATTTCCCTCTTCCTATCCCGCCACGCACCCCGACACCACCATCAGACGAGGCCGGAGATCACAATGCGCCTTATATCAAGTCAGGAGTCGCGCTTGATCGCGACGCCTTGTCACCACTGCGCGATACGTTTCCTAGGAGCGTATCGCTAGACCCTGGAAACGGGGACCGTCTAAGCCCGACCAAATCTTCATTCAGCTTGAGCCCTGGACCTTCAGATAATGTCACGTCAGCACAGAATGGCGCGAGTGACTCGACTGCCGCTGGACCATTCAACTTCAATACGACTGTTATGGCAAAGGGACCAGTAGTCAAATCGGTATGTTCGAAGCCGTTCGTGATATCTGTGGATGCAATTCTAACATGTTCATTCCGTGCGACAGAACATTGGACAGCGTCGTGGCCACAAATACAAGCACAGTAGTATCTCACACCAGATATTCCTCGAACCTCCCCCGCGGGCACCGTTTGCTTTGCCAAACTCGTTGCCAATTCCAACATTGAAAGAATGCCGTGCTAGTATGTCAAGGGACCAGAAGACACGCTTTTGGTGGAGTGTTTGCCACATGTTCGTGGCGGCATATACACTTTGGACCGCTCATGGGTCGCTAGCCATGACGGCATTATCCCATTTGATTCTCTTCGACTCACTGGGGGCTCTCCTTTGTGTGGCCGTAGATGTTCTTGGAAACTTTGAAGTATGGAAGCGATCTAGTATCCGCCATCCATTTGGCCTGGAGCGAGCCGAGGTTCTTGCTGGCTTTGCGATGTGTGTTCTGCTCCTGTTCATGGGCCTGGATTTGATCTCTCATAATTTACAACACTTCCTTGAGAAGGCTGGTCACGAACCCCACCATGTTCATAACCATGACCGGGTCTCTGTGGGAAGTGTCGATATCACAGCCGTCTTGGCTATTTCTTCGACATTGGTGTCTGCCATCGGACTCAAGAATCATGCACGGATTGGGAAGGCCATGCGCTTTGCGTACATTGAGTCTCTTCCATCGGTTTTGAGCAATCCGTCTCATTTCTTGACCCTCTCCTGCTCGGCTCTCCTGCTTTTGCTGCCGTTGGTCTCGATTCGAATTTATGACTGGCTAGACAAGGTCCTTTCTGGCACTATTGCTATCTCCATGTGTGTTCTCGGCGTGCATCTGGTGAAAACTCTGGGCTCTATGCTGCTGATGTCCTATTCGGGCCAAGGCGTGACGGAGGTTATCAAAGACATTGAGGCAGACCCGGCTGTGTTTGGGGTCGATGATGCACGCTTCTGGCAGGTCCATTACGGCCTTTGCATGGCCAATCTAAAAGTTCGTGTTGGTGGAACCGAGGACACAATATCTCGCCTGAGAGAGAAGATCTCCAGCTTGATTCGAAACCGACTCGGCGGGGGTTATGGCACTGGCGGCCAGAAATGGGAGGTTTCCCTCCAATTTACCATTGAAAGGCCCTAGTTCGCTCATCTGTTGGGACATCTATGTGCAATGTATGCAATCACATTTAGAAATATACCCCTGCAAATTACATCCTTGGAGTTCAAGCTTGATTCCGATCCCTAGATATCACTTGCGTCCTACCTATCAGGTACCTGCATTAGACTAGGCTGAGGGTTAAAGAGACAAGGTATGTATATAGCACAGCCAAATGATTTTAGAAAGTTGGAAAGGCAAGTCTAATTCATTTTCTACAGCGCATAAACGCTGCCGGATTATCATCCGCGAAGACTTCCCGAGGTTGGATGCAAATATCAAACCGTGGAATTTTGGTACATGTCAGGAATAAAAGAAATACACACGCAATGCTCATCTCCTCGCTATTCACCAAATATAACGCAGACCAGCCGCTTATTAGGCGGCGGCCAGAACAGCACCCTCCTCAAGCTTGCTGGTTCCTTCCCGCTCATCCCGTCGTCGGCGCTTCTCGAGGATGGCCTCTCGTCGCTGAGCGAGCATCTTGAGCTGACGGTTCTCAACACCCTGCATCCAGTAGCCGAAGCTGCCACCGACACCAGCGAAAAGAGGGTAGACCCAGAGGGATTCTTTGGCGAGGATGGGGCGCATCTCGATTCCGAGTTGCCAAAGGCGGATGGCAATGCCTGTGGAAGCGCGAGAATATTAGCATTGTTGCCTCACATATAATTTCACAGCACCACACTCGATGTTTCAAAACAGATTTGGCACGGGAAAGGGCGGTTGCGAGGTGATTGAGGGGGAGGTATGTCACGCACCGAAGCCGCTCCAGAAGAGGACTTTGTGGACCATGGTTGTGGGTCGGACGTGGACGGATAGAAGTGATTGGGATATTTGGCTGGCTTTAAGACAGACAGTAGAGGTGGAAGGTCTGTACCGTCACACTAAAGCGTCGCCCGGAGTCGGAATTGATGGGGTCGCACGGGTCGTGAAGTCGCACTGGGGGCGGCAGGAGGTTGAAGCAAATCAGCAACCCGCAGTTCTAAGCACGGAATAACCTTCCTCCGAGCATCTCCATGTTATCGCTTATCGTCTTCACGCGACTTTCTTCTCGTCCCTGTCCTCGTCCCTACAAGTCCACGATGGCCACCGACGAGGCCATGGAGGACGTGCAGATGGGCACGAAGAGGCGCTCGATTGACATAGAATCTTTGAAGCGCAAAAAGTTCAAGGCTGAAGACCTTCCGCTTTCTGCCACGCAACATGCGGCAATCGACAAACTGCTCCACTCATTTAAGAAGAAAGGCGGATTTGACAGCATTCGGAAACTAATTTGGGCTGAATTTAACGATGGAGTATGGCCAAACCCGGACGAAAAGATGGGCTCTGTGTCTACCTTTCATCTTCAAAGTGCTAATAGATCTGCACAGGATCCGAAGTCCAATTTCACGAACCAATTGATAGCATTGGCCGAGTCGGAGATTGAACGCGAACCTGCCCATCTTTCCCGTGAGAGAGGCAAAGCTGCGACACTTATCGAGGGTGCTGTCGACCGGAGCGATGTCTACAAAAACGTCGAGGATTCCATTGATCAACTAGCGTCGAGACATCTTCAAGACATTCTGGACGCAGTCCGCGCGATTCGCCGCGAAGAGATCGGCGAAGAGGCCGCTTCCAAAGAGGAAGCTTCTGGCAGCAAAACAGACGAGGACTACGAAGCCTATGTCAAAGTCAAACGCGATGAGCGAGAGAAGATATGGCGCGAAGAAATGCGCAAACAAAAAGAACTCGAGGACGAACAAAAGCGCATTAAGGAGGAGGAACAACGGAAGAAGCGTGAACTGGAGCGACAAAAGGAAGAGGAAGAGAGGGCTAGGAGGAAAGAGATCGACGATAAAAGACGGGCCGAACGTGAGCGCATGCGTGAGGAACAAAGGGCACTCGACGAGCAACGAGATCGGGAGAGGGAAGAGCGATACGAACGAAGGAGGCGAGAGGATCGAGATCGGTACCGTGACTGGGATCGTGATCGAGACCGTTACCGCGATCGCTCCCCGACATATCGGTCTGATCGTGGACTGTCCCCCCGTAGTCGGGATCCGAAACGAGAGAAATCCACCGCATCTAAAGACCCAACTCCTGCACCAATACTCCCTGCCGTGGATGAAAAGTCACTGGAAGAGGCTGCATTACAAATGCTACTGAAAGAAGGTGAAGAGCTTGCAGCCAAGGCTCGACAAAAGCGCGAGTTTGATTTCGAAGAAGCCGAAGCTATTGAAAACGGCCTCAAGCCGCCTCCCTCTACTGCGCCAGCCAAGAATTCCACCGCCTCCACCAGAGCTCCCAGTCTATCAAGAAACTCCAGAAGGGCCGACTCCGCCATCGACCGCTCTGATCGCACTCGACATCACACTAGAGATCGAAGCCGCAGCCGAAGCCGTTCTCGTCGACGACACACATCTCGTTACGATCCTGAACGCCGCCGCGATCGCTCCCGGGATGGGTCCGTAAGATCTCGAGACCGCTCGATGGAGGAGCGTCGTGGGTACCGTGACTTCCGTGATTTCCGCGAGGAACGCAGCTATCGACCTGCACGGCGCAGCCGTAGCCGGTCAGCCGGCAGAGGAGGACGGGAGAGAGACCGTGATCGCGAACGCGAAAGGGACCGCAGTCCTGAAAGGGACAGAGAGAGACATCGAGATAGGGACCGTGATCCCAAGCGATCCAGATCTCGCGAACGAGATCACGACCGGCGCCGCGCTGATCGTAGCCGCGATAGAAGTCGAGATCGGGATCGTGGTGGTGACGATTATCGCCCTCGACGAGCTCGACACTCTCGATCTCCCTCCCATCGACGCTCACGCTCGCGATCCCGCCAGCGACATCGCAGTCGGGAGCGCCCCCGTTCACGTTCACGATCTGCTGCTGCCAGGAGACGCTCCCGTTCTAGGTCAAACGCGCGGCGGAGGTCACGGTCCCGTCGCCGATCACCCCCACGACGGGCTTCTCCCGGTTCTCTAGACATCGACCGCTATGTGCCTATGACAAGCACTCGTAGTCGGTCACCAAGACGCCGAGTCCGATCCCAGGAGCGAGACCGAGACCGCGGTGAGATTGACCGATACATTCCCGGTTCCGAGCGGGCAAAGGACTCCACACGAGAGACGGGCAAGGAAGGCGAAGCTGAACCCTCAGCTTCTACAGAAACTGTTAAGGACTCAGATGACCACCGGAATCGTCGCCGCAGTCGCAGTCGTCGGAGAAGTCGAAGTCGAAGCCGACGAAGAAGCCGCAGTCGCAGTCGCAGAAGGAGCCGAAGCCGGTAGAAGTGACAAGAGCTAAGCTTTGGTCAGAGTATGGCTATATTTTGGAGGTTGGAGATCTATCTCTCTATGTAATATTAATCGTGTACGACTAGATGTATGAAATCAAAGTCCATAGCATGTGGCTGTGGTGATGATCCAACTAAGCCGGCTTGTGATACAGTTGCACGTACTAAAGCGGTTAGCCGCGATTTAGACTTAGCGTTATCGTTATCGGGTCCAGCTCCACCCAAAAAGTTGAAATCGCCAGCCCATGCGACTCGACTTTTTCACAACAATTGTCCAACGTCGAAACCAATACCCAGTTACCTTCTAATACTTCATCAAAGTCGCCTACCTATCATATTCCGCTTATCTCCTCAAAATCTCCGCGGCCGATTTTTCACGTATCACACCTCCGCCTTGCAAACGAGTTCTAATTCCTTCTACCACATCTGAAGACATCTCGTCCCCCCGGTCATCACGGAAGAAGAGGGCATTGGAAAACGAACATAGACTATTATCTTCTACGGAAACCATATAAGCTACTGCCACCATGAGAGCGACAGCCTCCAACCCAACAGAAGACCACTACGAACGGGGCGCGCTTGCTTCAGACGACGACCCAACATCATCTTCCGGCTCTTCATCCTCAGAAAGTGAAAGCGAGGAGGAATATAGCGAAGAAGAAGAAGATCAAGAGCTGCATGGCGACCACGATACCACGATCCCCGCCCTCGCCCCCGCCCCGTCAATGCCTCATATCGCTGGTCGTCCTAAGCCCAACATACATTCCATGGAAGGAGGCTCAGACCTGTTGTCGCGCTTGTCGAGCTTTTTGCCGAAGATGAAAAATGCGAATGAGGATTTGGAAAGGAAATCGCAGCGGGCAGGGGCCAAGATATGGTTTTGGATTCTGTCAACGACGATGGCAAAGATTATATTGAGATGGTAGGTGGAACTCGTTCTTCCCTTCCTTTATTGGGTCAAAGTTCCAGTGCTGACTGTCTGTTTGTAGAATCTCGGATTAGGAGTCCTTGAGGAGAAACGTGGCGAGAATGATGATTCATCTAGTGCCGATGAGGGTGATGATGAAGGCCCTGACGGAGACTCGCAGATGTCCAAAGACAAGGGAGACTCGGACCTTCTTGGACAGCTCATGGGCGGAATCACTTCCAAGTCTACAGACAAACCGTCAATTGAAGAGATGGCGGACTAGAGTGGAGGTTTATGAAAAGTCGAATTTCTGTATATATTTTTTTCTAGCGCACCGCATTTGCATTTGCGATAGGGGGTTCGCTGCCGATTCGATCAAGGCAAACCTTTTGACAGAAGTGCAACCAGAGTTATCCCCAAATCCTTTTATGAAGCCTCCTACTTGTATCTTTCTACTGCGTTGATCCCCACTTTCTCCCTAGACAAACCCGGCACGTGATCTTAATTATCCGCATCAATCCCGTGTAGGACGACAGATCCAATCCTGAGCATCAAAGTGTGTTCAATCACAAAAATGTCTAAGGCCCCTCGGATTGACTACATCCACGTCGATAGCAGGTCCTTATTCTGGCGAGGAAAGGCCAGACTGATCATTTTTGAGGATCATGCCCTCACTGCCAAGATGTGCACGTCGAAGACCGGTCAACCAGGCATGTAATACCTGTCGAAAGTCGAGAATTCGTTGCGATGGTGTTGGGCCGCTTTGCGGCACTTGCGAACGTCGACGGGGATAATGTAGTTATAACGATAATCTGCCCGAGTTAAAGAGAAGGGATGTTGTACTAGACCGGAAACTTCCTTCTCATGTCAACTAACAAATATCAAGGTCACGAACGTAACCCCAGTCATGATGCTCACCAAACAGCATTTGACCGTCTTTCTGTGGCACCAGCGGCTCGCGGAAACCTCAACCATGTCCATATTGGTGATGAGGACGATATCGGAGTGACTGCCGCCTGACTCAAGTTATGAATGCCGATTCAATAGCTAATCATCGTAATCAATGAGCCTCAAGTTACTACGAGGGACTTATACACAACGGTGTGCTCTCTTGTTTGCCATTCGCCTCTTGCCAGCTTGTATAGCCGAGTCACCCCGATCTTATGAAGCGCTAGTACGAATCTAATAGAAGTCGCAAAGCGAGTTGATCAACTCCAATCTAGTTATTCCAGTGGCTATCAGCACGCAAGTCTGCAGAAAACGCATCAAAGTTTGAGTCTTAATTTGATTGGCTCCAAGACCAAGAGACGAAGCGGGGTGCTCGCTGACTTGCGACTCACGCTGAAAAGTTTTCATATATACCGGAAAATGTCTGGCAACGCTTGGCGGTCTCCTTCCGTTCTAGTGCTCACCCCCTCGCCGCTTTTGCTCCCTGAGTAGAATTGAGCACGCCCCTGATCAGCCTGAGCTGCTCAGTGATCATTACGTAATCAGGGTAACCTGCTCACTGAGCCCTATCCGAGCATCCTGATTTGCTCACTAAGCCTGACCACAGCCTCCCTGATCTGATCACTTGAGCCGGGTTCCAGCTCAGCGGGACCCAAAAAGAGTTCAACGGGACCCAAAAGATTTCTGACTAATTTTGGGTCCCGATGAGGTGCCGGATCTCACCGGGACCCAAAATATTTTAGGTCCCGATGAGCTTTTATGTCTAGTTTTATGTATTTTATACAGGGTCCAACTAAAGTTAAACCCCTAACCTTACTAAAACGCCCCATACCTCTATACAACTCTATACAACTCCATATAACTCTATATAACTCTATATATTATAATCTCTATAGCTCCTTATATAATTTATTTATAATAATATAAAAGGCGTAGCCTTAATACTAATAAATTATAGGTTTTAAAAGAAAAATACGGATTGTGTAAAGTTACAATACAAAAGTGTCAACAAAGAAATGAGAGATATATCTTCAACAACGCAACACAAACATCCTTCTTTTTTCTTCCCTCACCACTAACTTTGTTTACACAAGGTAAGAACACCTGTTTACTCTACTCTCTAACGCGTTTCTCTATATATTCTGTATATACTGAATAGTTCCAGATCATCAATATATCTAACCTTAGACTCTTCCCTGGCCTGGGTCTAACCCGGGCTGAATTCGACAATAACACGGTCTTAAACGCGACTAACCCTGATACTCTCCTAGGATACGTATATAGTATATTTCCAAGAGGTATATGCTGTTAATATACTTACTATATATAGGGCCTATTCCTGACAATAACCCTAGCTAGAATGTGAGCAAGCGATGCTGCGCAGGTTGGTAAAGAGGAAGATAAATTAAAGATGATTAAATAAGATCGATTGATCTTTCTTCCTCTTGATTGAATAGGAAGGATATGAGCAAGTGTAAGCGTATAGGAAGGATGATGGTATAGCAAACCTATAGATAGAGCTATATAGTATAGCTGGATCGTATAGAGAGGTTGATGGATTGAATAGCAGTAGGTAGGCTATCAAGAATAAATTCAGGACTTAGATTAAGAACTATCTAGCAGGGACTTTAGGTCCTATTTATATTTGATAGATCCCTGTTTTCGGTGGCAACTAGCGACATAGTGGTGATTTCATTATGATGATCTTGTTTTCCATAAGATTCTATGATATCATATGGACTATCATAGAATTCTTTATGATTCTATCTATATCCGATACTCCCCCGTAATCTATATATGGCCAATATATAGATTAGTGGTAGATAGACAGATAGATAGCTAGATAGCTCTACTTAGCTATCTTAGTTAATTCATCAATATTCACTAGATTAGCTAGGTTGACCAGCTTTTTAAATGCCACTCTGTCAACGTTTTTAGTTAATAGATCAGCTAATTGGCTTTTGGTATTGATATAGGTCAATTTAACCTTTTCTTCTTGAATAGCCTCTCTTATATAGTGATATTGGATATCTATATGTTTTGATCTTTTATGGAACTCAGGATTCTGACCTAGTTTGATGGCAGATTCGTTGTCAACTAAGATAGTAGGGATATCTAGTAGATATCCTAGATCTAGTTGATCATTCATATAGTTGAATATATTAGCTAGATAGATAGCTTCCATAACAGCTTCTTTCATAGCTATATATTCAGCTTCGCAGCTGCTAACAGCCACGGATTTCTGTAATTGTGAGTTCCACGAGATAGGGTTATTTAGCCCTAGATCGCTAGATAGGCTAAATAGGTATCCAGTGGTAGATCGCCTACCATCTAGATCGCCTGCCCAATTAGCATCAGAGTATCCTTTTAAATATAAGCTATCGCCCTGACAGCTATATAATAGGCCTAAGTTAGGCCTATATAGTAGATATCTCTATATCTTCAGTAGTGTATTTATATGTTCTTAGCCAGGATTAGCTATATAGCGTGCACAGTAGTTAACAGGAAAGCTATATCTAGCCTAGTCTTTAGGCTAGTATATAGAAGTGATCTAATTTCTTGTTGATATAGATTTATAATCTTATCATTAGATTAATCAGGATTCTTATACAATCTAATACCTGGTTCTCCTAGTATTTTGATTAGTTTATAATCATATATATTGAATTTCTTTAGTAGCTTATATATATAGTCTTTTTGATCTATATATATCTTTTTAGCTAGGTGATCAATATATATATTATTACCTAGAAAGGTAGATATATCACCTAGTTCTTCTAGTTTAATATATATATTAAATTGTTTAGCTATTTCTTTGATATAGTTCTTATCTTGATGTATAACTAGTATATCATCAACATGAACTATTAATATAGCTTTAGATTGTTTATTAATATATACTCCTTCATTATAAGGTAGTATATAGAATCCTAGTCCTTTAGCTATTTTCCTAAAGAACTGATTCTATAGCCTAGGCGATTGCTTTAGGCTATATAGTGCCTTCTTTAGATGGCAACACTTATTAGAATATATAGGGTTATTATATAGACCCTTAGGTAATATAGTATAGATATCAGTATCGATATCAGTATGTACGAATGCATTTTTAACATCGTACTATATTATAGACCATCCTTTATTAACGGCTATAATTAGAATCATATGCCAAGTCTCTGTTCTAGCAGTAGTTAAGAAGGTCTCTAGGAAATCAACTCCTAGCTTTTGATAGAATCCTTGTATAACCTATCTAGCTTTATATCTAATAGATTGATTCTTATTAGTGATATAGTTAGATTTAATAGTATCAGGATTCTTTATAGGTTTCTTTTTGAATACCTACCTACCTTTTATAGGTATGATATTAGGTGGTATATCAATAATTTCATAGGTATCCTACGCTAATAGCTTATTATTTTCATCTAAGCAGGCCTGGTACTAGAGATCTCTATTAGTAGATCTCATAGCTTCCTCGAAACTATTAGGTTCTGCTAGAACTGATACAGATAGGATATAATCTATCTACTTATTATATAGCTTCTTTAGTTGATTAGCTATAGTAGTCTGATCAAGACTATATATAAAGGCTTTATCTATATTATATAGACGATCCTTTGATGATTTTATAGCTAGATTTCTAGCTAGATCCTTAGATAGATCTTTAGATAGATCTTTAGATAGATAGTTTCTATCTTTTTGTGCCGGTATTTGAATCTCGATTTTATAATTTGGGCATGCCTCGATTTGCGATTGAGATTTTATAGTATGGTCAATTTCAATTGATTCTGAATCATCTAGATAGGCAGATGATTTAGATTTAGTTAGATACGTATCTAAGAATTTTCCTTCTAGGATAACTGCATCTCTAGTCTATATAGTCTTTTGTAGCTTTATATCATATAGCTTATAGTGAAGATAGTCACTATATCCTACTAATATAGCCAGATTTTTACGCGGAGCTAGTTTAGCTAGGCGTTTATTAGTATAATAATAGGCTATAGATCCCTATATTTTAATATAGTGGATAGTAGGTTGTTTTCCTTTATAGATTTCATAGGGTGTTTTGAAATCTAGAGATCTATAAGGTATACGATTATATATATAGACAGCGGCTAATAGCGCTTCGCCCTATAGATTTTGCTCAGCCTTTGAAGATATTAATAGGCTTCTTAGCTTATTCAGTAGCGTTAGATTAATTCGCTCTATTAGACTATTAGGTTCTTTAGTATATATAGGAGTATTTCTATAGATAATACCATATTTCCTTATATATAGAGCGAAATCGCTGTTGATATATTCTTTACTGTTGTCAGTAAAGATCTCTTTAATAGTAGTATC